CGAAAAATTTGAAGAAAACCAAAAAATTTTATCAGTTCATTTTAATAGATACTGGCTCAGCAGAAATAACTCTAATTCCTAATGATAGAGATCCCTCTATCATTAGTTACTCAAAACTAAGAATCATTAAAGTAATTTCCTACCCCGAATGGAACCAACACCCATTCACAGATAAGAGTTTTTCGAGGCCCTTTGACCCCCATCTTATAATTACTTTGACTACCAAGAAGCCTGGAACAAAATATTATTCGATACAAACCCTAGGCATTCATGGTACATATGCTTCAAGAAAGAAATACCCAACTCATTACCAAATTGGTTTATTGACTGGTTCAATCAAATAGGCCCAGTTCAATCAATAATCCCTGACAAAGTCATGAAAATCTATCAGAAATATAAAAACCTCACTCCTCAATATCCCCCATATCTCCGAATCATAAAATTCTGTTCAACCATGGGAATAAGTTGGCTTTTGGCCCACATTCCCGAAGTCCATAAGCATAAGGACGAAACTTATCCAAAAACCCTTTGCCTAAAAACCAAAGTTTTTTGGTGGAAAAAATTTGAAGTCCAATATGTTGAAGAAAAATTCGAAAACTGGAGAAAAATGGGCCTCATCAGTCGAACAGGCCCAATACCTAAAGAAAACCCTTCCATAAAAGACAAGGGAAAATTCATAATAGATTTGTCACAAATCCCCTCTTCAAAACTAGAAAAGGCCCAACTAAAACAAAAAATGCTTGAAGCCTTATCCTCGTTGGGCTCAGACGAAGAAGAAGAAGAAGAAGAAGACAACGAAGCCATAATTAACATTCAAGATGCACAAGACCCATATGAAGACGAAGAAAATGTAGATTTTGATCAGTTCTAGTAACCAATTACATCCTATGATAAAGAAATGCAAAGAAGAATTCAGAATATCATGAAGTTCTCCAAAAAAGAAGTGTACAATAGAATTCAGAATATCATGAAAAAATTAGAAAAAGACCCCCCCTGAGATATCCTTCTAAGAAAAGCATCCGAGTAAGAAGTTGGGTTTATCTGGCCCATCGCCCAAAAGATGCAATAGTTCTCGGTCCAAGAAGAAATAAAAGTGGATTCCTACAACCAGAAAAGGGGACCCACAAAGTGGAAAAAAGAGTCATGTAATTTTGTTTTTAGCGTCGGCCACCGAAAGTAAAGGTGTGCCAGTTGTAATTATCTTTTCTTTTGTCGGCCACTTGTGTCAGTTGTATAGTTAATAGGGAACTCTTAAGAGTCTATAAAAGAGTCAATTGACGAAGTAGAATTTACAGCTCTCATAGAGCCTTAAACTCTACCTTCCTCGACCAACTCCTTCATAGCCTAAGTTCCCAGTCTTCCTTTATCCCTGCGAATAATTGTAAGATTTTAAGAATATCAGAATAATACTCTTCTCCTTCTTCTTTGCTCTTCCTTTTATCTCATTGCTCTTCCGCTTATGCTGTACTGGTATTATAAATGTATATATATATATATATATATATATATATATATATATATATATATATATATATATTAAGTTAGCTTTCTATGTAAATAATATCCATTCCTTACGAAGGGGAAAATGATATACCAAAAGATGGTAATTTAATGATGTTTAAAACATCTAAATGAACAATTTTTTAGATAATAGATGTAAAGAAAGGAACAAAATAACTTGTAATCTATATTATTTAAAGAAGACTTGTTAACTATTGTTATAAAAGCAATTTTTTGAGCAATTATAAATAAGTTATCGATAGAAATTATAACTACCTGAATCAGTCCCATTAAATACTGCAGAGCCTACTAAATTTTTTAATAATTATCTGATTTATTTAATGAAACTAACATAATTTTTTTCCATAAAAAAGTGGCTCCGTCCTCTTCACGTAAAACAGTGTTGTTAGTCTGTTGCATTGCAGTTAAAAAGAAAATATATTTATATTGTGTGTATTAATTTATGCCCACTTCAACTAAACTATAGTCAGGTAATAATCTCTCATTACATCACCATGCTTTTATTTGTCTAAAAAGATTATCACTATTTGCTTTGAAGACAAAACTTGTGGTCTTCGAAGAGACATCTGGGTGTGTGACTTGAGTTGAAAACGAATAAATCTGCCTACCCTCCGTAATAACATCATCAATCACCAATTACTAATCATTTAAATACTATGCTGATGTGCCCTTTCATGCCTTCTCCAAGCTTCCACACTATTAAGAAAAAGGACATGAAAGTGACCCTCATTCATCTTAATCTTACAATCCAAATGACTCACTCTGTTATAACTATTTGATAATTCTCCATGATTGAATTCTGGGACCCTCTTTTCCCCCTGAATATTCAAGATAAAGGTCACATCCATTTTTTAATAACTTATTACAAACTTATTCTGTGTTGTTGTTAACTGAAAATATCACCGACCCTGCTTAGCAGTTGGAGTTGGGGTTGCCATTTGATTGTTTAGTGCACTTTTTTTAATTAATTTAATCAATTTGCTAATGCTAAATTAAATCTTTCTAAAACTTGAAATCTTTCTGAAGCGTTTAACATACGAATAATAAGGAGAGTATGACTTGGTAGTTAAATTGGTAAAAATACTATACATTAGATTGTTAAATTTAAATATATGAGAATTATGTTATAAATCAAGAATTATAAAAAAAATATCACAGTAATCTATTTGGGACATTAATATTGTGCCTCGGCATGTGTGAAAGCCAATAATACATGTACACATGTAAGAAACAAGAAAGTTGATTACCAGCATATAAGTAAAATTTTATTATTCACATATATAATAAGAATGTTAAAATAGACGTGTAATGTAAGAAAAAACATTGGAAAAAAATAATTATATTAAAAATCATCGATGTGATACCGATTAAAGAATACATGACAGAAAACTAATTAAGGTAATTTAGACACTTAGAGATAAAGTTTCTTCAAATATCAACGAAAATAATAGGTTACACTACATGATTGAATTTCAGTTTTCTAAAAAAAACAAGAATGATATTATATTCAAAAAAAAATATACAACTAAAATATTTCAACCAAGAACAAATAAAATTGTAAACTTTTTTTATTTAGACCAATAATGTTCCATATATTTCAACTTAAATAAGTATTTTGTTTGAGATATTACAAAATACTACATTCATTGTTATAAGAATTAAAACTTACATTTATAATTGTCAAATTTTCATTCTGTTAAGTAAAAATATAAATAAGTAAAATTTAACAATTTTTGTTAGTTTATTTTCATACTTTTATGATAAAGTTTTCAAATTTTGAAAAAAAAATTGATAAAATAACTTAATTGCACGAACAAGTTTCAGAATAGTACGAATAAAAAAGATGAATTAACAAGACTAAATTTAAGAGGTATAAAATGTAAAATGTGCACGTAAATATAAAGTGATGTACTAATAAGCAAATGTAAAAGAATTCAGTAGTTTGAAATAATAATAATAATAATAACTGATAAAAATATGATTATAACAATTTAAAACACTTAATGATTGTATTAAAATAATTAAAAAATTAACACCGAACACTGACTACAACAAATAAAATTAAAAGCACAATTAAAGCTTTTCATATATCAACCTCCCCAAAGTTCTATTTTTTTCATTTTTCACATGAACTATTATTATTCATTCATTCATTCAAATAATCTCAATGAGAAATGAGATATGAAATACAAAAGGTTGACCAAGGTGGCTGTGAATTGTGAGTCTCACCCTAATTTTCAAACCTAAAGTTTCGTAGTTCATATTCATAACACAAAGACACATTTTTACACCTACGTTCACAAATGGGGGACCAAAGCACTGAACATCTGCTGTTAATTTTCCAAGGTCAAATGAAGAATCAATAAACATTGTTGTCGTGGAAAAATATATTTCATAAAAAAAATTGACGAGGAACGTATCACACGACTTAGAAAAACCAAGCCTCATAAGTAGACGTGCTTTTCCCTCTCGTCTAAATAAAAATAATTCATGGAAGAGAAGTCTTTGAATTAGATTTTTATTTTTTAAAATATCTATATTTTTTTAACCGTTTATTGAATAAACTAGTATCATTTTTTAAGGAGATGAAACTACTCATTTAATATGTTTAGTGAAATTTCTTTTACTGTTAATAATTTGTATTATGTATAGAAAAGAGTTTGTTTATCATATTCCACCGTCTTCACCATTAGTCACATCTACAATTGATTCAAAGCTGCCCGATAAGTACGCAGAGAAGACTGATATATATAAAAAAGAAAAAGTTTTAAGCCAAACTAATGAAAATGGTATTAAGTTTCCATGGTCAAAATGATGAATCTGAACAGAAAAGAAACTCATTGAGACTTTACTGTGGTGGAAACAATATTTCTCCAAATAAATCAGGAGGAACGTTTCAGGTGACTTTTATAACGCTAAAAATCTAAATATGTTTAGTGGATAATTATGTTACCAATTGATTATTTGATTTCACCAGTAATTAAAGTTTAATGAATGTGTATATATAATTATCAATGTTCTTGTGAGTCTAATAACTAAATATTGTTTTATAGATTACCAGTAACATTTATAAACAACGAATTTTATCGGGATTAATAATTTTCCATAAAACTAATAGTTTTTAAACAATACATGATAGGCCATGCAAACAAAAGGAAGTGACAAGAAAAGAAAGAAGAGATGGGCGAATATAAAGAAGATAAATATTTATAATTTTTCTTTGTGTAGAAAAGGAAAGAAAATCCATAGACACTTTGTAAAAGTCTTTAAACCACACTATACATGAGTTAGTAAAAAGCTCCATTAAGGAAAAAAAAAAAAAAACGGAACCTAATGGCAAAAGGTACTAAAATCATAAACGCCTTCGTCTACATCACAAGAGTTATTGCAGAACCACCCAATCGATCCTTTTTTGTACAATCCTATTCCTATGAACAAAATTAGATGAAAATAGTTGCAAGTAGCAAGTTGCATAATCTTCAAGATAGATCACCACTCTTCACACCCCCACTCAAAATCCATGGGTGTCCTGCAAACACAACACACATTGATTAATAACACAACATACACAAAATCTAAACCCTAAAACAAAACAGTAGGAAATCCACGTTAAGAAAATAATTTACTTGAAAAAAAAATGATAGGAGGAAAGTTACTCAAAGCTTGGTGTGCAGATATACGCCTAGAGGGATCCCTACAAATCATCTTCCTGAGAAGATCCTTTGCAGGAGCAGAAACAGACCTAAAAATGGTGGTGGGAAACCTAAGATTGGCCCTTAAAACAGCTTCAAAAATTTGTGCAGCAGAGTCTCCATAAAAGGGTGGAAACCCACTTAACATTGCGTACAGAATCACCCCACTGCTCCAAACATCTACTTTCTCGTCGTACTCTCTCCCCATGAGAACTTCCGGCGCCACGTAATAGGGGGAGCCCACCACGCCGCTCATGGGTCTGCCCTCACCGAACCACTCCGCGGAGCCGAAGTCGGAGAGTTTAAGGTTGTTGCCGTCGTCGAACAAGAGGTTTTCGGGTTTGATGTCTCTGTGGGCGAGGGCGAGGGCGTGGCAGTGCGTGAGGGCTTCGAGAAGCTGCTTAATGAGGGAGGCGGCGTGGGGCTCCAGCAAGGGTCCGTCGGCGATGCGGTCGAAGAGAGTGCGGGGCTGGCAGAGTTGGAGAACTATGGTGGAGGTTTCGCCGTCTTGGAAGGCGTCGATGATTTTGAGAATGTTGGGGTGGGGAGAGAGGAAGATCATGGCCTTGGCCTCGATTTCGAGGCAGTGGCGGTCGGCGGCGTCGGTGAGGAGGCGGTTGTGGATGAGTTTGAGAGCGTAGAATTGGTTGGATGAAGGGTGGAAGCAGCGGAAGACAGTGCCGAATTTGCCTCGACCGATTTCTTCCAACACTTGGTATTGTTGTTTCTTGTGGGCTCCTGCTTCTTCTCGCTGCATTTTCTGTTTCGTTTTGAGCAAATTCCTAGTCTTAAATGGAAGGGGAGGGCGGGTCTATATAGAATAGTTTCAAGTTTGATGAAGTTACACTTTTTTACTTTGAGGTGAGTTAGTTTGTGTTTGGAGAATATACATGGGATATTCTGAGTTTTTAAGTTTTTCAAATAAAACATCAACTATTCAACTCTCAATATTAATATAATAATTATAAATAAATATACAAAATTAAAATAAATCTGTTTATTTGTAGAAAAAAGAGTTTCCAATCATTTATGTATTTATTATGGCATTACGTTATGATTCAATATTCATCTACTTTTTCATCCAGTGATAATTATTTGTAACTATAAAATTAAAATAGATTTAATTCAATATTTGAAATATAGATCAAGCAGAAAATTTTATTATGTGGCGGATTGAAAAAAATTATTGTATATCTTCTTACTCTTGCTCTTAGATTATTTCCGTCATATCTTTGTTCAACATACATTTTTTCAAATTTTATTATGTATCTTACCATAGAGAAATTATTGTGTATGCAGATTAGTTTCATCCTTTTTACCCAAAAAAATAAAAAAATATTAATAATACTTTCATACTGACAATATTGTGAAACTATTCCCTTGAACGAGAAATAGAAGGTAACAGTAACATTTTTTTTTATTGATGATTTGAAATTTCAAATTACATGTAAATTGAACTCTTTAGTTAGGTGTAATATTTATACTTAGGGTTTAATTATAATACACTCAGTATAATTTGTTTATATCATTAGCTATCAAAAGGAATTTAAAAGTTAATAATAATTACAAGAAATTTTAGTGACTTTCAATATTTAAAATAATTACAAGAAAACATTTATTTATAATTAAATATTATTTAATTCAATCATTTCATTACAGATTATACGGTTTAATAAAAGAAATCAACCCCCCCCCCTTCTCTCTCTCTCTCTCTCTATATATATATATATTAGTATCATTTAATTATAATTGAATTAAATAGTATAAATACAAAACATTTAACCCCTAAATGTTGTATATACTATCATTTAACCAAATAGTATATTTTTTAAAATACTCAATTTGAACAAGATTGTTTTTAGAATAATATTTTTCATCTATATAGAGCGTAAAATATTTGTAACACTGACAAATGAATGATAACTATTAGTCATTAAAAAAATACCTCATCTGTCATCTCATAGAAATATAATTTATAGCCCTCACTCCAATAAATGAGATTACATGAAAACTGCCTCCGTGCACTTTTATAAGAAACCAAAAGACATTTCATTGAAAAACTATAACCAAACACTTCAATATTTACAAAGATTTAAACATTTAATTTTTTAAAAAAATTGATCATATATAAACAAGAAAACAACAAATGATACACCTAAAACTTGCCATAGAAGGAGAAAAATCTACAGTGACGTGGCAGTACAAGAATAAAATTGTGGTGCAGTTACAAACAAATTCTATCAAAATTTATTAAAATATAAAAATAAAAATTCTGTATTCCAAATTTAGAAACTTTAAACATTGGTACGCTCGTTTCCTTATTCATCTAAAATAAGAGCTAAGTCTAAATTTTTCCTTAAATACAAAAATGATTTTGGATATATTTAACCAACTTAAACGACTTTTTAGCAGCATTTTTATAAGTCCACATGGGTGCACTATCCGTGTAAATGTGACAGATGTGCACTAAAGTTTCCTCTACATACTAGATGGAGTAGATCCAATGTACAACCCATATAATACTGTGCATGCATCAAACAAATTGAATAACGGAGAAAACACATAGTCTATTATATGTGTATTACTACACTTTCTTTAAACTCTTCCGGTTAGCCTAAAGAGAAAAAGAAATTCGGTGAAAGAAATGAAAGACTGAGCCATAGATGACTAACAAATCAGGAATGTACTTTTGGACAGATCCGAGACAAAAGTGACTCGATCAGTAAATCAAATTACTAAAAATCCATCAGAAAATTTCGCTACTTATGGTAAGGCGTCTCAAATGATGTCAATTTAATTCAACTTGGCTAATCATCTCTTAGCAAAGGTCCTCACTTTACAAGGACATTGGTCCAGCGACAAAACTTCCAAGATAATGGTCCCAATATTGGTCAGTACATGCAGGTCTGAATATCGTTGTTGCTGCTTGCCCCCATCCAAAACACATTCCATACCGAAGCTTGAAATTCCTCCACTTCGGGGCAAAGTTGGCGTTCAAAGCTGAACTTGAGTCATGTGTCTCTGAAGAATGGGCAGTCAATCCGATATGAGGGCATTAATACTTTTCATAAACTATTTAAGTATAATGTTCAAAACGAGATGAACAAAGTTAAAATGGTTTCATAATTAAGAGGATAATGCAAAACATAGTAGTCTGATGCCCAAAAGGGTTGCAAAAAATAAGACCATATAATATGAACAGGGGGGTTTATTTGCACCTCTTTTCTCATCAATCCACCCCAAATGTACTTGGGGAGGGGGGGCATGAAGAGAATAAAAAGGAGTGTGGGAATAAAATCTCCCTAAAATAGATTGGCTAAGGAAGAAAAATTTTAACTAGCCCAGGTAAAGAACAAAATCATAATGGCCCAATTTGGGCAAGGCCACCAGCAATCATCAAGGAAGAAAGTCACAGTTTGGGTCAACGTCGATGAAAGCACGGGTTCTGGGAAACAAGGCAGGTGGAGATAACAATACAAGTGACTTCAGATACTTGTATTCTGCACAATGAATAAATAGATCCATAGATATAGGCTTTTCTTGTATCCAATGAATATATTTGCTAGTCATCTTTATTTTATACACACTATTAACTTGGAAGAAAATAAGATGTTTATTATGAGAATGAGAGGATTCAGTAATAACCCTTACATAAAAATAAATGTAACAGTTTCATTTAAAATCTCATGTGATTGTGTATTATATTCTCCCACGCAAGCTCTTGCTCGTGTCTATCGCGACTCTCTTTCCAAAACCACCATTTCCTCTGCCCTCTGACTTCATCAAACTCTCCAATGTTTAAATGCATCATATGAAAATTAAAAAAGTAAAAAACAAGAAAGAAAAGAGTTGGAAGAAAAAAAGAGTGACCACTGACAAGCCCTACTGCAGAATCCTCATGAAGGAAAAACGAAGGCCACATTTATCTATAATTTTTCTAGCCCAGACTCCCCACCTCCATGATTCCATGACGCAGCCCCTGAACTTTCCATTACAGTTGAAGCCATCAGGCACGTCACTAGTATTAGACACATGGATGATCACATTTTATCAATTTTTTTATTAAATAATTTATAAATATTTAGTATATTTTCTTAATTAATTATTAATAATTAATAGTGTTGTAACAATGAAATAAAAATATCTTAATATAAATTATTACTGTACATTTTTACTAATTATTTATTTTCTTTTGCATGATTAATAAAATTAAAAAAATATATAAAAAAATCCAAATTCATCCACTAAGCGCACAAAAACTACTCAACGGATAAGAAACCGCTCAACAGAATTGGACCCGAGAGCTCTTCATCTAAAAATTAGCAATCCGTTCAGCGCTGTCATCTGCTCAGCATTTTTACATCCGCTAAACAGAATTCTTCCAAAGAGCTTATGTAACTAATTTAACTGCAAATGCAAATCCACTTAACAGATGGGAAACCGCTGAGCGGTTGAGTCGAATATCAATAGTGTTTGGTCATTTGTTCAGTGCTTTTAAATCCGCTAAACAGAATTCTTTCATAGAACTTACGTAACTAATTTAACTGCAAATCCACTTAGCAGATGGGAAACCGTTGAGCGGATGAGTTGAATATCCGTTCTTGCATCATGTTGTATTAAGTTATACTTTGTATTTATGGACCTTGATCGCTTCATATACCTTTGTTGTTGTATAAATATAACTTCAAAGGTATAGAATGTTTGAATCATAATTCATTCATAAGATCCTCTCTAGTTCAGTTCTGAAGTTCTTAGTTTTCAGTAGAGATGCTTAGTTTCCAAATTTGTTCATGGAGTTTCTTATACGAATAATGGAATGATGTTTATCAATTCAAGTTCTCTTGATCATATTTGTTTCCTTTGCTCTTAATTATTTGTTTTTACTTTTTGTTTCATCTTCTTCATTTTCCATTAATTCCTTTACTGTTTTTGCATTTTTCAATTGATCATAATGTTCTAATTCGCTAAAACTTGTTTTCTATGTTAGTTTTGATCCTTAATGATTCTAATTGATTATAATCCATTATCCATTACAAATACTGTGAATGAGGTTATTTGATTGAATATCTCTTTTATGTCACAATTCAACTTCTAGATTTAAGTGATTACTTGATTTAGGAATTGAGTTGTTCAATTGGATTGTACCTAATTGGAACTGTTGTGAATTTGTTATTGTGATTGCAAGACAATTCCATAAAAATCAATGATAATCACATAAAAACAAGTTTATGATTAGAGAATTAACACAATTTCTTCACTGTTTTTTATCAACTTTTACTTTGATTGTTTTATTTCTAAACTTAGTTTACAATGTTCATTAGCATTTAAAGCTTACTTAATTTAGATTTAAAATGCTTTCAATTATTGTTTTCCTTTAATACTTTCTTTAATTGCTTTCATATAATAGGATTATTGTTTTCAATTTCTAAAATCACAAAAATCCACCTATCTTCTAGCTTTTTATTTAGAAAATCAAGATTTAAAACAAAACCAAACAATTCTCCTTAGGATTCAACCTAGGCCAAGCCCTTGTATTGCATTACTTTAATTGCAAATTGTTTGATGAAATCTAGGTAACAAGATTAAATTCATCACATAACAATGAACTTGCCTCCCCTCATATCTCGTTCTTTTCATGTAATGTTCATGTTTCAATTCCTTAAACATTGGTGCCGAGTGTGGTTGATGAAGTCAGATTGGACTTCAAAAAGAATAGAGAAAATGACAGTTTTAGAAAGAGAAATAAAAAAAGTGAGAGGAAGAGAGTCATGAGAAGGTGTGCGTTGGAGAATAGAATACACGGTATGAGATTTTAAGGGAAACATTGGAGAATAGGATACACAGTCATGTGGAATTTTAAATGAAACTTTTATTTTTATCTAATGGTTATTATTGAACCCTCTCATTCTCACAATTAAGCATCGTTCTCACTATATAATATATATATATATATATATATATATATATATATATATATATATATATATATATATATATATATATATATATATATATATATATATATATATATATATATATATATATATATATATATATATATATATAACATAATCATTGCGGTAAGACCCCTATTGATGTTAGCTCAATCAACTGATCACGAGGCAAGCTGCATGGTGAATGCATGCTTCCACGCCCAAATCCTATTGCAGAGCATTGTAGTAACACTAACGTGGATTAAAATTTTTAGATAACTACTTGCGAGAATGTTATTGAACATGCTCTACATGAGCAAAAGTATTAAAAGAGAATAATAATTGTGATTTGCTGGCCTGGAATGCCTGCAACCTCTCTATCTCTAAGACCAGTCCAGCTACGTTCTGGCCTGATCTGTATTTAGCCCAATCTGAGTTTGAATAGGCCTCTTTTTATGAATTATATTATAAATGCAAAGTAAAATTGGATATGTATTATGATAGTTCAACTTACATAAATGATATCAGAAGGGAGCCTCTAGTGATTCATCCCAAACTTCTGCACTGCCGTTGGAGGCATCCTCTACGTCTTCTTCCATTGAAAGCCTAATATATTCTCTATGAGCAAAGCGATCCCACTCTGTCAATGTCGGATTCTCACGTTCCTGTTCACACAAGAACATGCACAAGACAGTCAAAACTCACCAACAATAGTCAATCATACTGTCTCAATAGCGCAATAACTTCTATCAGATATTCAGGCACCTGACGAATCAAAAATGGGTCACGAGTCTCAAAGGCCATGAACTTATTCAGATTGAACAGGATATTGAAAACACTTCCTGAGAGTTTACCACCTTTCAGGTCACGGAGGGTTATATAGCTCTCATCCTACAGAGTGAAGAATTTAAATTTAAAATAAAGAAAAAAAAATCTCAGATAAATGATAAATAACGCACAATATTAACCAAAAAAGATGGAGAAAGGATGAAAAAGGAGGAACCAAAAAATGGAAATTGAGCATATCATTTTTCCAAGACAACAAAAAATTTAAAACTTCAGACTAGATTAGAATATCATATTCCAGTTAGTGTGACTTCTCAACAACATAATGAAGAATCAATTGAAGAAAGATTGAAAGACAAACCTCAGGTCCAACCATGTCAATGATCTGGCACAGTATATCCTCAAAAAGCACAGGTTCTTGGGCCATGCACTCCATTCGATGTAATTGCTCCTCATAAAAAAATTGCAGTTCATTCCGAGTCAGAACTCCATTTCCATCCAAATCAACGCACTTAAACCTAATCATGACAAATCAAATCGCAAATAATAACTAATTAAAGTCAACCACAAAGGTAAAACATTTAATGTAAGCTTAAGACTGTACTTAGTAGGAAAAGATAGAGGGAAGTGAAAAAAAAATGAAAATCTTTAATAAAAAGCCAAAGGTAAGAAAAAAAAAACTTCCAAAGTTCTTCCATATATATATATATATATATATATATATATATATCAAGTAGCCCAAACTTACATCAATCGATTTCCCCCATCCTGTTTTCAGCCTTGCCTTTTGTTGACACTATGCTTAAGCATACTACCCAACTACACAGTTTACAATATCATAAGGCACAAGGAACTTTCTTTTCCCAAGGCAGGTGTTTGGATGTGTTTGAAACTGTTTCCCAAATAAATGAATAAACCTGTTTGAGAGATTGTTTTCACCATGCAAACATTTAAGACGTTTTAAATTGTCTATGCTTTCTAGATTTTATAATTTGAAATCTTTGAAAATAAAGGAAACACCTAAAGAAAGTCGTTTTGGGGGGTATTAAGTAAATGTAGTGGTTAATGGATGGGAAACTAAATACCAATACTCAAGACTCGGCTCAGATGATTTGTCCTCTTCTGACAGTATGAAGTAAACAAAATCTTCATAACCCATCTTTCCCTCAACCTTACTGGTAAACCTTCTGGGAACCTGAGATAACATTGAGGAGAATAAAAAATTTGCATCTTCAACAAATGATCTGATAATTCATATAAACAGATGTGAAAGGACAATGCATGATTAGGAGGGGAAAGGTAGGGCTTTGGGTTGTCTGCAGCACTGACAACGATAGTCATATTACAGGACAGAAGCAAAACATGATATAGTAATCCACACCAACCTGGGAAAATATTCTATCAACAATTCGATAGGTAAGCGCATGGTTACCATATCTGATAAGATTCTCCTTGTCTATCAAGAAATCATGATCTGTATCCAGCTCCCAAAACTTGCAGTATATAACGTAAAAATGCTCATAAGAAAAGTACCTGAAGATAATATTAAGGTAGAATAAAATTAAGGCATCTTAATATACATGTAGTTAGTTCATTTGTATAACAAACCGAGGTCATTTTCTGTAGTTAATGGACAAGACATTTTCAAATGGTATATCTACCTCAAAACCTTGTTTATGTCCTCTTCTTCATCAGCATGCTGCATTGCATCAATTATGTTTCCACGCTTCAGCTCCCTCAGGGTAAGATGACCATTTCCTGATCTATTAATGTAGTAATATATTCTGTATATGACAGTTTCAGCTGGACCATAGGAAAAACATGTAGTTATGAACATTGCACCACGAAAAAAGACAAAAAAATATTATCAGATACCATGACCAGCCTATGGGTCAATTTTGATGGAAGAAATTCGATTCTCCCAAAGCTCAAATATATGAAGTGTGAATATTTTCAATAGGTAGTTCATATGATTATACATTTTAATTGCAATTATCAGCAAAAATCCCAAGTAAAAATATAAATACACTGACAATGAGAAATCATATATAGGTATTTTATAACCATCACATTGATATCTGTTGACTAGTAATTTGTTGACATTATTCTGCCACATAATCAATTCATTCACAAATAATGTGTATCTTCTGATGTGAAGCATCCAGCATCCCTTATACTACTTGCAATTATTATGATTATTGTATTGAACATCAGGCTAAGTATGCCATCGCAAGATAAGAAAAAAAGGTTAAGTATTTTTGTCATGGTTACTTAATATTGTCATGTTAACAAAAGCACAATGCATGATTTCAGCCAGATAGATGATAATTTCAACAAAGATGAAAAAATGGCTAAGTGGGAAAATGACAGCCAGCATTATTTCAGCAAGTATAAAGACAACCAACAAATGGAGCTGGCAGGAAAGTGCATTGCTTAAGCAGGAGAAAAGTAAATGTTTTAAGAGTATCCAATACAAATGTATTGACAAAGTGAGCCATCTGACAGGTCATCGTTTGGCATGGGCTTGAGTAGAAAAGGGAAAAAAAAAAGAACTTAAAAAAACTATTTGCCCAAACCAAGTGCTTACAAACAGAAGCTGCATTACCCACCGATTATAAAAGGAATTTGTAGCTAGTTACATTTTGTAAGGTAAGATTGAATCAGATTCCATGAAAGCACCCTACATAGGACTGAAATGAAAAAACATGCATTGTGCCAGAAACTTAAAAAATATTTGTCTAGAAATCACAAATCAATCTTAAAAGTTGCATCAAGAATCCAATATAAAAATTTGCACACTGTCATAGGAACCCCACCCTCTTTTGATTTTCAATGATACCAAACAGAACATAAAATATTTTGAAAAAACCAAATAAGGGAGGATAACCCTATCTTTAATTTTTAAGCAAACTTCAAAATTCGTTGGAGTCGTGGAGCTGAATATTTTGTACAAGGAATTAAAGGAGAAAACAAAGACTGAATACAACAAAATTGATATTTTGTAGATCTAATATTTAATGTGATGTGTTATAATCTGATTATATACGTATTAACCCTCATTTATACTAACAATCCTAACTAAACAAGGTAACAAGACATGATATTAGGAAACACCGAAACTCAGAATTGGAAATCTAATCCTAAGAGATATTTTTAAGATATTTTATAATATTCAAAATACAATATTATATTGATATTGATATTATGGGTATAGTAGATAGAGTCGCAAGTATCGATGAGTCAAATCTCAATATCAAATAGAGGGATGGCGAAACAAATCACATGGTGAAACATTTTTAAGCATGAACCATACTCTGTATCTTGTGAATCGTTGTTGAATCACATATTTCATGATTCTAAAGCAAAGACTGTGATTCAAAACACAAGGGTTGCAAGTATGAACAGATGGAGTTCACTGCGACTCAGTTTGAAATGTTTTAATTTTGAGGTGTTTTTTTTTCAAATATTTGAGAATATGAAGAAAGTAACGAATAGTTCCCTCCTAAGAGAGCCTCTGAATTTTTCAAATTATATAAAATGGTACCATGCATCAGTGGTGTCACTAAGCTTTTTCAGTTCACTGTATCGAGGCATTTCTTAATTGAAAAGCTTTTTGCCTTTTACTTTGCAATGTGAGACTATCCACATAAAAGAAAAAAGATCAAACTCCCTTTTATCCTATTTAAAATATTTAAATCTGTCCTATTCAAGTACCCATTTACCTCTCCTCTTCTAAATCTTCTCTTGTAACAAGCTCTAATTTGAGTCCCATGTATGTTAGCTACTGCCTTCTTATTTTAGTGGAGCAATGTATCAGATAATGCCAAAAAAAAAAAAAAAAAACATTAGAATTTTTGCTGCTGCCACTTTTTGCTTGTCACTTTACTTATAATGTTATATTTGTATTGTTCACTTATCATACAATTCATAAATTGATTAGATTCACAATTTGTAAAATGTCTCTTTCAATTCACAATTTGTAAAATAGCTCTTCTGATTCATGATTCATATAACAGCTCTACAATTCACAATTGGTAAACTAGCGCTTCTGATTCAATAACCATGACTGGAATATTCCAACACTCCACCTCACACTAAAGCTGACCAAGCAGAAACAGATAGCTGAGCCCTAAAAAAGAGGTTAGGTAGAGTATAAACAAGACAACACATGTGGAGCCCCCATGTGCCAATAAGAACAGCAGGTAAGAAAAATGCCCATAAAGGCACATAAGAAGTTCTCTGATAATGGCACCCTGAGGGATGGTCAAATGGTAATTTCTGAACAAGACAATGGTGTCTCCTTGGACAGCCAAAGGTTAAACATGGTGAATCTGCAGAACAGTGGTATTTAAAACAGGAAAAAAAAAGGCTAAACAAGAGAAGACTTCATTTTTAGGAACTCAGCAGCAAAATAGTGATATGATAGGTCCAAATGAACTGATTGGAGCGTAGGGAGTTGGTGGACAATATCAAATAGATGTATGTCACGCGCAAAACTGAAAAGAGATAAGAAAAAAAATAAGCTGAGGGTTGAAGATTGTCAATAGCAATTCTAAGGAGTAGTTACATAGCAAAAAGGAGAAATTCTCCTCAAAGTGGATGATGATGTGGCTCTAATATCATCTTGGAATTAGGTTTAGAAAGATAAAATGGAGAGTGTTAAAGTTCCAACATAAAACCAATTGGCAATATGTGGAGTAGCCTAACATGTATTTAAACCATACCAAATGATATGAGGTAGGCGATGTGGGACTTTCAACACACCCCCTCCAACGAAGCCTGCCGGACCAGGCAAAGGGTACTTTTGACCCAACTAAAGGGCAACTTTTGGCCCATGACAATAACCGGAAAGATGTTAGGCTTTGGCTCTGATACCATGTTAAGGTTCCAACATAAAACCAATTGGCAATATGTGGAGTAGCCTAACATGTATTTAAACCCTATCAAATGATATGAGGTAGGCGATGTGGGACTTTCAACAGAGAGAAAAAGAATAACTAAAATAAAATTAAGCATCATTTTTGTACTAAGAACCCATACCAAATAAGTTAACAAATCACATAAATACTGATCTTATACTGAGAAAAGGAAAGCATGCAAACTAAGAGAAGGAATCTAATCCTTCTAAGATACTCTTAAATATTCTAAGATGTGATACCAATATTATGGTATACTATAGGGATCAGATGTAGATAAAGGATATATCAGAAGGCCTTACACAAACAATAAACAATTCTCCAAGGCATGGAATGTCTAATTTCTCAATTAGAATCTCAACAGTGATTCTCTTAACATATTATCGAGTCAAAATATCAGAATACAGGTTTAAGGACATACCCAGTAAGTAGAACTTGATTTAACCAACAAGGCCCAAGGCAGAATACTACAGCTTTTTTTTATTTAAGAAATAATTGCAACAGAGACAGGAAGTTCAACTAAAGGGAGTGTCAGAAACACTGCAGAAATAGTCTATACAAAGGCTAATTTGGAAAGTGTAAGAATAATGCAGCTAAGCTACGCAATCTCCTTGAATATCCAAGATAGTGACTCCATTAAAGCAGTCAAGAGAAGAACTACACTGCTATAAAACTTTGCACATTTCAAATTAATCCTCTATAAGGTAACATCAACAAAAGACAGCTCCGGGGTTAAATAAGACATCCATGCCTTTCCATAACCCCCACAACCGTTTTGGTTAGAAACCAAGTATGGCAAGAATTTCAAATCTATTTGCCCATGTGTGCAATTAAACCTACATGAACCACTAAATACAAGGTTATAACCAAGATGGAAGACAAACCATATCTCTCTTGAAACTCAGGTGTGCTCTGCAAGAACTCCAACCCTGGATGAGTTGCCAAAAGCTCACGTAGCACAGGTTTAAAATCATCCTGACATGAAGTATAATAAAACTTACTAGAATCAAATAGGAATCGAATAAATGACATAATTTGATATATATATCATCAGGCCATGCCTAAGCATAGCTTTTAGAGGAGAAGAAAATTAAATGAAACGAAAAGAACGAAAATATAAAATCCATAGAAGCAAAATACCTGGGTAAGGTACTTGAGCTGTGGTTGTTTTAAAATTGTATATATCTGGGTAGCTATATCTTTTGTCAACATGTTGCCATTGATCCAATAATCAATAAATGCTTTCCTATAGGAATATTAAATAAAGGAATTACGCATAAGTATTTGGAAATACTAATTACAGGGAACAAAACCATTCAAGTATAGTTCCTAAGTCATGGAAGGGTACTTAAATAAAAACATGCTCATTTTATTAATAATACACAAGGTTATTCAAGCAATAAATCAATCTGGTAACGCCAAAATGAATTGAAATAGCAGTTTCCAATAGTAGCTTCTTGTTTAACACAAAGCACAAAAGACCCATTTAGAATCTCTTGGCTAAAAAATGTGTACAACTAAAATGCTTGTTGCTGCCAACTTGCCTCTTCCCTTCTAATGTTCGGTTCCTTCATCTTTTGACCTTGGAGGATAGTACAGCATCAAATACTGTTTTACATGGCATAGTAGGAAGAATTGAAAACTTTCAGCATTCAATAGATGATTGAGAATGGAAATTTAATGTTCTTTCCTTTCTAGTCAAACCTACTCTGACATACTTTTCAGTTTAGATCATGTTTGTTACTACCAAAGAAGGAGAATGCACTCTAGGGGAAAAAAGATATGAACATTTAGTTCATGGAGTAAATCAAAACTTTCTACAGACTCTTCAATAAACCAACCATTCATTTTTGTTAACTGACAATACTTTCGTGATTTCCTTTAAAACACTTTCGACTAGCCAAATGAGGATCATTTTTCAAGGTCCAAATTCAATACTTATGAGAAATTCAGTTCTTAAAGTTTACAACAGATAAAATACAGTAATACGAAATATGCTGTTTTTCATTAAAAAAAAAATCTTTTTGTGTCTGGGGGGGTTATAATCACCCCCTTTTTTTCAGAAGCTATCATCCCCCTGAAAATATAATATAAACACACTGTTTCAAGTGTCTATAAATTTTGAAGTCTGTTATATTTATCAAATGACTACTAATTTGACCAAGAAACCATACTCTTTTGCTTGTTTTAGGTTGATTTCTAACAACTTTCCTATTTACTCCTCCGATTAGCTACTATAAACATCATTGCTGACTTTGCGATGGTATAATGCAACTAAGTTAAATTTAAAGTCCACCTCCCTTGAGCTTGACATATAAATCAAGGATCCATTCATTGCCAGTATTACATCCATTTACATTATTCGTTACAAACATGTAACAAACAACTGAAGATGGCTCCAATATGTCAAAGAATCACTCAATATTAAGGGAACTAAAGAATGCTTCTATCTTTTAAGAGACCACTTATATGGGAAAGGGAATTAAACATTAATCCATTATAGCAGCAGCGTAAACTGCGAATAAGGTTAAGACTTTGAGAAACTTGTAAACTTAAGGATTTGTATCATAGTAACCTAAGATAAACAATATACTGGCTAAAAAGGTGTAATTGCACAAAGACAATTTAGGAGGGAAAAAGGAACACACAGGAATGGAGTGGACAATGTACTTCACCCATGGTTTGATTAGGCAGTGGAATAAAAATTTGATTTTCAAAAATAAATAACACAATAGTTAGGAATACAGATGTTATGTTTTCTTGAAAGCACTTTCCTTTTCTGAATAGTTACATAATAGTTATTATGCTGTAACACTATCAATGTCCTAGCATCTAAAGAAAAACTCTTTAATTATCCAAACAGCTAAATCCAAGAACCACTATCCACAGCAGGAAAAAATTGAAATGCGTAGTTTATTTTAAATAATCATGATAATAATAAAGTACACACCTTGTCACAACTTCAGTTCCATTATCAATCTTTCTGAAAAGACATGTGGAAAAAAAAGATGGCAGCTTGCATACTTCCTTAGTAACTGTCTTGAATTCTGCCAACCAAAGAAACAAATAGAACAGAATTAAGCCAGTAGTCCATTACTACAAAGTGGTTTCAGATAGATAATCACTTATTGACTTATGGAAGCACTAAATCTATTTTTTTATTTAAAGTGAGGGGCGGGTTTATTGCTTAAAATGCTTGGAGTGCTCATTATTGAAAATCACACTTTCCCCAATAGCCAATTGTCCCTTCAGACTATAACACCCTTATATTCACAATATCTCACCATGTATCTGCAGCCCATCCATGTGATCATGAAATAAATGGTCAATTCTAATAAGGCATTGTTCTTTCAGTTCATTTGGAGGAGGACGCCCAAATTGAAAGTAGAACTGCAAGCACACAAGTATCTATGTTATGAGCAAGAACAGAGAATGAAAAGGGGGCGAGAGATTGTGAGAACCAAAAAAGAAGAAAAATAAATACAAAATATACACACAATCATTTGGCATACCAGGAACAAAAGAAAAGCATCACAAATAAATATTTTAGAAAAATGGAAAGCCAACATAAGAGGATTACTAGAAATGATTTGCTGCAGTTAATAAGGAATTTGACGATCATTGAATGTGTCATACTTGGTAACAGCAAAGATGGTAATAAATGTCAGAAATATTTTGTGTCAATGTGCAATCCATGCAGTTCTTTGGAGCATAATGCTGGCATATTTAGTCAGTCCCACTGCACCTCGATTTGCTATGGGAGAGGATTCTTTCTACAAATTCTCTTGTGTTATGATCAAGATTGTTTCCAGTGAGTTTCCATTTCATATATGCAGCATGTTTCTCTGCCATATTTTTCTTTCACATATTTGTCTTCTCTGATCTATATTGCTTTTATAGTTTTGGAGCATATCACATCATCCTTTTAGATCTACATTCACTCCCTCCAGTTCTAATTAATTTTCTTTTACAATCACATAAAATATAAGATATCATATCAGATGGGCCTAACCTGAGGTATCAATTCTTTAACTGGCTCACTGACAACCTTCAACGGAGAACCCAAATTAGAAGGGCCGACTCTCTGTTTCACTATGCGAGGGGAGCCAGATGAACTTCTTGGTGAAAGAGGTGGTGCAGTGCCAGCAGGAAACATGGAGGGCAAAGAATTGCTTGAAGCATTTGGACTAGAGCAATTCCCTGGGACATTCAAGGGAGCACTTGACTTTGCTTCATTTAGCAATGATGTTACCTGCACACATTCACAAGTGAGACATAAAATTAAGAATAAACTCACAAATGCACAAAATAATTATTTAAAGACTGTTTAAAGGGGAAAACTTGACCAATAAAGAAACTCAAAATAATAATAATAATAATAATAATAATAATCAATATTTCATTCATGAGTATCTTTGAGACTTGTTTATATAGCTTGGGCGAGTGGGAAAGATTCAAACATAGTCCTTCCTATAATAAGCTATGGTGATTTATCTTAAAGAAAGCATAACAGTAGACATTAATCACTCAGAAACATAAATATATGTCGGGTGTATCTATGAAAAAGTCATTATAATGCACACCAAGTAGGTGTATGGAATCCCACGCACACCATCAGCTATCTTTTATTAACACAAATAATAATTAATAATCCATCATTCTCACAAAAACAACTGTTCAAATGATTATTAACTTATATCTGACAGCGAAAGTAGCTACGAATGGATATACAGCAAGCCTCGTGAAATGAACAATGACGCAATAGGTTGATTTCCAATTCGAGGAAATGTTTCGAAGCGTACCAATCGATTGCTTTCAGGAAGCGAAAGCCATTGCTCAAAGAGCGTCTCGACGAAGCTCAGGTTTGATTTGAGTGCCAAAGCGGACACCTCAGGGAGCTGCAACAAATCGACATCCAACGACGCCGTATCGCTAACGACCTCCATGCTCATCTAATCGAACCCGTAACCGTATCTCTCATTCACGAACCGTACCGCGCAGAGAACAAAACGAAACCTGCTTGAGCAAGCTGAATTTCAATGCCTTCGAATTGAAACCGCGTATAGTAAACAGGAATGGAACAAATGTGCTGGAGCCAGCTGCGGATTCAGCAGGAACCCTAGATCCTTCTACTGTTGGGAATTTAGGATCGATTACCGATGTAGATTGAGGAGACGGATCGGTACGGCGATCTGGTGAGAGATTTGGACGGAGGAAGAATGCGCGTGGGAAATAAATTTGGGTGTAAATTTCTGTATAGATCCACGCGAATTTGGAGGGAGATAGAAGAAATGTGTGTGCAGATACTGTGAAAAGAAAATGAGGAGGGGCGTGTTGTTTTTGTATTTTTTATTATTTTTATTTGTTTGGAAATTTGGAAATTAAGATAAAGGAGAAGAAAATGAAATTTTGGCAGATTGACACGTGGTCTGCTTACGGAAAATACGGTTTTAGGAGTGCAATCATCAGTCATCACATGTTGGAGAAGTCCCGATCCACGGTTCCATTATTTTTTTTGGGTACGACACTAGTGGTACTTTATTTAAGTGTTGATGTCCATGGTTCCATTATTGCTGTTGAATAGTGTTAAACGGTGAAAAATGTTACATGAACCATCAAAATTGTGAGAAATGTGATGCTGAAAGCAAATACTAAATATATATTGGAAAATTCATAAGTTTTTTCAAAACCATACCATTTATTCTTTTTGCCAATTTAATTGACTGTACATTTGTTGCATGAAATCATCAATAGGAGTTTCATCGATAGGATATTGTAGAAAGATTATTTTTCTTGATTAGTTATGAATATCATGGATTTAACATGATTGGGACAATACAAGGATTTAATGCTTAGTCTTGTTGTGGTGAAAACTCTAAATCAATAAACGCATAGACTCAAGTATTTGCTGACATCAATAGTGAACCGAAAGCCAAGGTAGATAACGTACTTGTGTTTATTAAATAATAGGTGTTTTTTAAAATAATAAGTCAAATAGTTTATAACAGTTAATCTCAATATTTTATATCTTATAAATTAGATTAAACATATGTCTGTACGTATGAAATCTTAAATTTATATATAAAAAAATTATAATTGGTCCATTTATCTTGATAATTTGTAATTATCTCCAATTATAAATAGGTAGAGTATAAAATGGTTATCTAAACCTCTTGCTCATGTAAAAAACGAGGACTTTATTATTATCGTTACAAATTATTGTTATCAAATAAAAAGTAACGTAAATACATAATACAATACATGAAATCACTTATAATACAATAAATTAAGGTTTTAATAAGTCATTTTTAGTCAACCAATTGAACTCATGTATTTTTAACCGGTCAATGTAAAATTAGAGGGTTTTAATAAGTGATTTTCAGTCAACCGATTGACTAAAACACAAATCTTAGTAGTACATAAGAAAAAATTAAAGATATTATTAGTAATCGTATTATGCAACATCGATTATGATAGAAATAAACCACCCATAATTTTTGTTTTTAAACTGGTTAAAAGGAATCATTCGTATCATCCTTTTTCGTCTACTATTTAATAGTTTTGTTTTATTTTATTTATTTATTTTTACATATAAAACTCTTTTTTGAAATAGGATGAAATTATTTTGTAGCTTTTTGATGAAAAAAATATGGTAACGTGTGTTTACCCCCATTGCAATATTTAGGTTTTATTTTTTCTTTATTCGTATTGAAATTTAACGAAGAAGTGAGTATACAAAGTAGTAATTTTTCTCGAAGTCATTTCACCAAGTACAACACAGAACTGAGATAGATTACAGTAATTTCACAACTCAATATTAAAAACAACTATTTGATAAGCTTACTCACAGTAACATAATAATACACAATTAAGTGAGTTATAATATAAACAATTATTATTAATTATTATAAGGGATGGTAAGTGATAATGTTTAAATTTGTATGAAGAAAGTATATATTTTTCAATTGAAAAAAATGATCTATAGTAGGAACAATCGTGATTTTAGTTATAAAAAATTAACTATTAACGTAATTGATCCATTTTATGATAATATAAAAATATTATAAAAACCAAACTAGACAACGAATTTTTATACCCGGATTAATATAGTTTTGGGATAACTAGTTATAATTTTGTTTAAATCAAGTACATAATAACACCATTACCAATATATATAACAGAGTATACAACACATTTTGAACATTCATTTTTATTTGAAACCCATCTTCAACATATAACTGATATATTTTTTAAATTATAATTGATTTTTCCAAACCAATTTAGTATTGGTTTGGTTATAATAATACCAGCTTACAGTATGTCGTTATTAAATTATTATAGTCAGTTTATTCAAATTGTTATTTTTTTATTATATTTTGAAAACGACAATAAAGAGATTATTAAAAAGACCTCTCAAAATGAAATAAAGAAAATAAATATTATTATCATCTTTCTTCCTGCATCCATAAATATTTTAAAACTTCCATACACCTGTAAAAACGTAACCCCTCCATATTCTAGAATTATTGTGAGAAAATATCTCATACCATAAAATGTTTATAATTGTTAAAAGTTAAGATGTGAACATTAATTTTCAAAACATTGAAAATAGTGAAAATGACGAAAATAGTTAAATTTTAAAGATTATATTTAAATTTTAAAAATAAAATTAGGGATGATCTTATTTCAACTCAAACAAAATTGTGATGGGCTACTAGTCTGATATCTTACCAGATGAGATTACTAGTTAGATGAGTTGATAATATTTATTTTATATAATTTTTTATATATATACTTTTAAAAATATATATTTTATTATTTAAATACATTTAAAATTTTTATTTATTAATTCATATTAAATAAATAAAAAATATAATATTTATATTAAAATATTTAAGTATGATTAATATGTATAATTTTAAATTATAATATTATAATATATTTATATATTTTAATTATAATTTTTTATTTATTTTAATATATAAATAAATTTTAAAATAAACAAATAATTATTCTATTTTATCTCGTTGATCAATTAATAAATTAGAGAGAACAATCCTAATATGAAAACAAAAATTTAGAATATAACTATAAAAATAAAAATTATTATTTATAACTTTAAATTTGACAGATAAAAAAAAACTGGCATGGATAGGATAGTAATAACCAAATGGAATGGAAGAAATTTGAAGGGTTATTTTTCAACTTTTAAGGTGGAGTATTTGTAGGATTTTGTTTTGGACTAAGACGGCTGATTTTTTTTTTTTCAATTTTTTTTTTTATTAATTTAAAATAACACTATTTTTTTGTTAATAATTATATTTTTAAACTACTTAATATGTTTATAAATTATATTTAAAAGTATTTATTTATTATAAATTGTAATTTTGTATAATGGTGTTAACCAGTAAAAAAAAAAAAAATAGTGTTAGGATGACAGAGGTGTGGGACCTGGGCAAACAGAAGAAAGGAGAGTGGTTGGGTGCAGTAGAAGTCGCGGGACTCAACCCAGGGGCTCGGACACATCACACTCTAGTGGTTGTTATCTCACTACCCTAAACCCCTCACACTTCCCACGCTCCTATTTTCATTTTCCGATTCATTCTCTTCTCAAGCTCCTTGTCATCATCGGCGTCGAGATGAGGCATGTTTCCGCTGTGATCTTTCCGCTAATGCATGTAACGGAATACAGTCAATAAAACTAGTTAAATCCTGATTAACTGTTTTGAATTCCTTTTCTCCAATTTGTTCTCTCACGAAGATGGAAGGTTCTACACCAACTAAAGATTTGAGTGAGCTTCAGTCCACCATGCGAGCCATCGAATACGCTTGCTCTTCCATTCAGGTTCCAATCGTTCTCTCCTTTTCTATTCCTCACTCTCCTTTTTTTTTTTTTTTTGAAGTAGAGAATGTAGAGTTAAGAATAAAGAACTCATTTTCCCTAGTTGTGAAATTGATTGAAAATCTAAATGCTAAAATTCTGAAAACAGATGTTTCACGTTCAATTGTTCACCTTGGTTCTGACTAGGAAACTAACTTGAGTATTTGATATGTACTTAGACGTCTATTGTTATACCTGCAATGCTTGTGGTATATAATGAAATATCGGTGGAGTGGAAATTCATTAGCCGTGATTATTCTGAAGAGTGTTTTTAATTTTATCTTTGGTTAATGTATCATGATCACATTTACACGTAAAAAAAATCCATTATTATGCTATATACACTTATATGGTTGTATATTTACCTTTTTTTTTTCTTTAAATTTCTCTCGAAACAATATTTTGGAAAAAAGGCAGATGTTAAACTGATGATCATCGCAAGTGAATTACTATTACTGAAATCTTCATTTATTAGTAGAAAAATATTTGACAAGCAATAAGTGTGGAGCACACATTGTCATATTTTATGCATTTTCCACTCTTGTACAATTAAATTTTTGTTTTAATTCCTCGTCCTGTTCCAATCATTTTGGTTCTTGTGGATTACCCATTCATAAGTCTAGGAGAACTAGAATACATTATTCGCATGTAAAACCTCTCCCCCTCACTGTTAAATATATTACTAGATTTCACAATGAGTTGGAAAATTCCATGGTCCCACCACTGTTTCTTGAAGATGTTATTTTCTTTAACACTCCCTACTTCAAATCACGTGAATGTAGTGAAGGAATAAGGTTTATGCAAGCATTTTTTTTTAAAGTATGAACACGTAGACATCCAAATGCATATGTAGTCATATTCTTATTGTTGTTAAGCATTTATTTTCAGATGCATATCAATCCAGGAGCTTCTGAGGCAGTTATTTTGTCATTAGGCCAGTCTTCTCAGCCATATGAGACTTGCGAATTCATTCTTGGTGAGTTTACATGTTGTGTGACAAACAAAATATCTGCCTTTTGTATTATGCAAATGATACTGATAATTCAAATGATCATTGACAAGAAAGAGTGTGCAAATTAAATTGGACTACATGTGTTTGATGGACACATTGTTGATGCCATAGTTTACTTAGGTGAAATCATCACAGTGCTGGATATACTGCCCTTTTAATATGTGAAAATTGCAGTTCTTATTTACTTAAGAATTAAGATTTAATTAGTTTGTCAGATCATTATAAAGCAGTGTAGGTGATATTTTTTTGTTGGACAATGAAAAAAAGAGCCAACTTGCAAGCAAATTCAGCATATAATGCATGTTTGTTACTGAACAATTATTCAGTGATTTCATTAGTCTCATCAGAAACCATGAAAGTGAGTCCACTGTTTGGTTCCTAGGGTTAAGTTTGCCTGTCATCAGTGATGAACTGAGCAATAACTGTGATTATTGGAGATATTATACTAATATCATTGAGGGTTGGGTTTTTCTTTAATATAAGTGTAGAACATTAGATAGAGGTAAAGATCTGCTTTCTCAAGAAAAAGTGCAACCAAATCCCATGGGATCGAACTTGCAATAGATAGAGGTAATGTTGATGCTAATTCTATTTTTGGATGAGAGGTAAGGAAGATGAATGGAGTAGAGGGAAGGGGAAAAATACCCTAACTTTTGGTTGGAAAATTCTTAAATGAGGCAAAAGGAAGGGTAACAAGTGTACTTTAAATTAAATAAGAAGTAACTCTAGTTACTTTCTAACTTTAACTCCTATAAAATTGGATATATTTCCTTTCTTTTCCATACTTAAACATCTATAAACAGGAAGATTCAATTTCCTTTCCCTGAACTTCCCCTCTACTCAAAAGCCTTTATATAGCATAGAAAATATTGCATTTGGAGGACAAAACTTCAGAAAAAAATCATGTTGTATAAGGCCAATTGATAGGGGTGAAGCTAAGAATTTTAGATGAGGGGGACCAACATATAAAAATTAATTATCATATAAAAATAAATATATTATATAAAATGCTCAATAGCATGTTCGACATTACTAATTGAATTTAAATTTTGGAAACTAGAGTTTATTTTATCATCTATCATCTCTTTTTTCTTAAAATATAAATCTATAATTTTATTTTTAAATATCTTTAAAACTCAACTTGAGTTTGAGGGGAAGTGTTAGAGTAGTTTATCTTGATAGTATATCTTAGCCTTAGATAGGTTTACTTGTTTGCCTAAAAGGTTGTTTTTAATTGCTAGCATTAACTACATAGGTATAGCCTTTTCCTTGCATACTCTTTGTAATTTTGATGTACTTCTCTTTTATAAATAATATGGAGCAACTTAAGAGATAACAAAATTTCTTAATCTCTTCTCTCATTTTTCACTATTAAGTGATATACTAATTATAGACAATTTTGGCTCTTCTTCATGAACTTCAATTAAGATTTCTACTCCAGTTATCTACATCTACTGTGACAAGCAAAGCAACATTGCTTTGAGTCACAATCTTGTTTTGCACACCAGAACAAAGCCTATGTAACTGGATCATCTTCTTTGTGCACAAAAGGGTTCTCAAGCTCAGGTTGCTCATATCCTCACAAGTCTGAGTTTGTGAGAGAGTAATAGTATTCTGCTCATTTGTTTTGTAAATTGATTGACTATCTGCAACATCAGCATAGTTATTGTAGTTAGTTAATGATATTTGGCTTCTGCTATATCAGCATAGTTAGTTGATGCTTAGTAAGTTGTTTGGCTTTTGCTACATTAACAAAGTTAGACTATCTTGTAGTTTATCTTTTTCTATTCTCTTATAACTGATCTCATATCTTATGAGATTAGAAAATAATATACGAACAAAGTTCTTAGAAATTCTCTCTCTCTCTGAGCTTATACGTTTTCTATAATACTGTAATCGTTTTGTCTGTGCAGAAAATTCCCAGGTTGCAACTGCAAGGTTTCAAGCGGCTGCAGCAATCCGAGAAGCAGCTATTAGGGAATGGGCTTTTCTTAGTGCTAATGCCAAGAGAAACTTGATAAGGTTTTCTGCAAACTTTGATTTCACTATCTTTTGTGCTGTTTTTTATACTTACAATCTTATTGTATTATTTTCTGATTCTTCTTTCAATATTTGTTACTTGCAGTTTTTGTCTAATCTATATCATGAAGCGTGCTAGTTCTCCTGATTTCTATGTTCAAGCAAAGGTTTCTTCCGTGACTGCACAGTTGATGAAAAGGGGTTGGTAAGTACAGCATTTTTTTATTCGGAGCTTACACTGGATACATAACCTACATATACAACCTTGTCTCATCTATAACTTGTATGCTGGATTTTTTTTGTTACAAACTTTTACCATGACTGTATCTTTAATGAAGATTGAAATTCTCATCGAATTGAATGATTAGCTTTGTGGGTGCAGATGTCGTAGAGATTTTCTTCCAATTGCCCAATGATTAAAAAATTTTACATTGCAAATACAAATTTAGTGCACTTAAGCAAAGGAGAAAATATGTTTTAAAGAGCTTGATCCTTCTCTCTCTTAGGTTTTATTATTTATATATGCAAAAAGGAGAGATGCAATCAATGAGAGAGAAGAGTGTAAAACAAGACACGTCTAGGTGCAAATAGGTACAATACAAAATAACTTTTTGATAAAACCTATCCTATGCCTATTCTAACACTCTTCCTCAAACTGAAGTATATATCAAGTTTGAAACATGTAAATTGAATCTGAAACCCTCTCAAGCATTAGAGAGTGTTACTAGTTGATTACTGGATCAAACTAACTTAATACTAATTTCCTTGACCAACAACTTTTCTCAAATAAAATGACAGTAAATGTCTCTAATTTTAGTTTCTTATAAAACAGAATATTGGAGCCAATGTGGAGAACTGATTGATTATCACAATACATCTTTGTTTGTTGAATCTCACAAAATTTTAGTTCTTGGAGGAGTTGCTTTACTTTCACAAGTTCATAAGTGAGAGATGTCACTGCCTTATATTCAGCTTTAGCACTTGATCGAGCTACTACATTCTATTTCTTGCTTTTCTTGGAAATAATAGTCCCTCCAATGAGAAAACAATATTTTGTTGTCGTGTGTTTGTCCATAGGAGATTTTGTCCAATCAGTATCACAATAGTTATAGATTTGGGCCTTTATCTTCAAATAACAAATTTTGTCCTTAAGCCTTTTCGAGGTACTTAGGATATGAATGACAAAATTCCAATGATTAACATAAGAAATTTTCATTAATTGACTAATAACACCAACTATAGAAGAGAGATCAGGTATAGTAATAGTAAGATAAATAAGTTTTCTAGTAAACCTTTTATATCTCATAGAATAGGATTATCCACTGGTCTACAATCAATCATACTTGTCTCTTTCAAGATATTTAAAACATATTTTCTCCAAGAAATTACAATATTTTCCTTTGATTTAGCCACTTTTGTGCCCAAATAGTATTTGAGACAGCAAAAATCTTTGGTTTGGAAGTGAATGCATAAATATTCCTTTATAGGAGAGATTCTAGCAACATTATTTCCTATAATAAGTATGCCATCAACATACACAATTAAATAAAGACATTTTCCTGGACAGATATGATAGTAAAAAACTGGATGATTTGCCTCACTATGCTTCAAACCATAGATTTGAAAAATGTGACTAAATTTTTCAAACTAGGCTTGTAGAGATTTCTTGAAACCATGGAGGTTGCTCCATATAGACTTTTTCCTCTAGATCACTCCACTTGTTATTGAACCACTTTTCAATTCTACTTTCTCAAGATGTTTATTCCTAGTGTGTTGAAAATCCTACATCGAGTAGAAATATGACCATCTTATAATATATAATTGAGGTGCAAACCTCATTTTATAAGCCAGTTTTATAGGATTAAGTTAGACACCATTTTAATATGTTATCAGAGTCTATCCTTATTTGAATTGTTGATTTATTACTCCACCTGTTATTGGATCACCTTTAATATTCAGTTCCATGCTTTCCTCGGCCTGAGCAGATGTGTTGGAAATCCAACATTGAGTAAAGATGTGACGAACTTATAATATAATCGAGGTGCAAGCCTCACCTTATAAGCCAATTTTAGGGGTTGAATTAGACACCTCTCAATTTCTAATAATACTATGATAGTAAGGATCCAACACATTCAAAGCACTTTCTTGTAGTTATCAGACTCGTAGGGTAAGCAAAAAGAGTTGCATTGTATGATTTGTGTTAAAGTGTGATTTTGACAACATTGGCAAGAACTTGAGCCTTGTAATCTTTTCTTTAGATATTGACTTTGCTACAACTATGAACAGGCTTTGACTTAGTTACACATCAACAATAATTGATTTAGAGACATCCTGCATTGCTCTTGTTCTTATCGAAAAATTGTAGTAATTCTTTCTATTTTGAGCACATACTATGTAGCAAGTTTTTTTTAGAAGGAAAACATTATTATATTCTTGCACATCAGTATTGTTAATTTTTTGTGGCTATGGTTTCATTTGTCTTACAGTTGGTTTGGTAAATATTATCTTGTAGGCTTGAGTTTATGGCAGGAGAGATGGTGGTTTTTTTTAATCAGGTACTGACATTTTGTTTCTCTGTTTGTAGTTGCTTTCAGCTTTGATTGGTCTCAGTATTACACTTTCTGCATGTCTGCTTCCTTTTCTTCATTCCGCTCATATTTCTGGTTTCAAAATGAATAATTTTGTCACAATTCTAATTATATGCGTAAATGTATCAATGGGCTGTTCAAATCTCTCAGAATTGATTACACTGATGACTGAACAACTGGTGTAAGTTTGAGTGGGTATGTTGAGTTTTGTTATTTGAAAAGAAATATGTGCTGGGTTGCTTGGTATGGGATTGGAATATCGGAAATACATTACTAATGTGCAAAACTAAATTATTTTGAACAAATTGTAATTAAATATTTAGAAGCCAGTATCTGGTAGAAGAATTTCTTGTCTTACCTAATGTCACTCCCTACTCATCTTGCCCAGTCCTCCCCAATGTTAAAGAGAGAGTTACTGTTTAGGTTATTTTAGTCAACACATATGTACATTTTAATATGATTAAACAAAACACCGGTTAACAAAATTTTCAAGATGGTTTATACGTTCAAATGACTAACCATTGCAATGGTTAAGTTATCCAGAAATATCAATTTATTTACCAGGAAATCCGAAATCACAATTCTCCCAGATTTAAAAACCTAACATTCTTCTTTGCTTTATCTATTCTATGTATTCTATTGTACTTAACTTTAAGAAATGATACCATTCAGGATTTTTAATTTGCTCCTAAACATCTATCCTTCGTGCAAGTGTGACAGTTTTATCATTTTATGTATTGCAGGTGAACCAGGCTGTTGTGGGTAGTCATGGCATAGACATGCAGTTTGCTGGAATCAAAGTCCTTGAATCATTGGTATTAGATCTTTTACGATTAAGAAATTTTACCCATTTCTTATTGCTTTGGCTGTATACCTACTTTTTTTTTTTTCTTTTATTATTATTATTATTATTATTATTATTTTTACTTAATTCAATATCTATAGGTATCCGAATTTTCTCCATCTACTTCAAGTGCTATGGGCCTTCCAAGGGAGTTTCATGAGCAGTGTAGGAGATCGTTTGAGAAGGACTACCTGAAGGTCTTTCTAATTTTGAATAATTATTTAATTTTTTTTTAACCAAGTTAATTAATTTTCATTAGAACTAGCAATTATTTCCTAATTAATACCCCCTCCTTTATATTATGTATATTATAGGAATTCTACCGATTGACACAAGAAGCTGCTTCAAGACTCACAAAAAAGATTATTGAATCTGACTCTGTTGTACCTGAGGCTAAAGTTTGCACTGCTGCACTGGATCTCATGCTTCAAATCCTGAATTGGGATTTCCGTAGCAATACCAGTGACACAAAGAAAAATGTAAATGTCTTTTCTGCTGGAGTTAGACAAGATGGGGATTCTCTCAAAAGGTCTGAATGTCACCTAGTGCAGGTAATCATTTGATAGAACAAAACATAGCACACTACGCATCGGTCACCATTGCACATTAAACAAGAAACATCATGATTAGGTCATAACTAGAAATTTAGACTGTAAATCTCCCTTCTGTTGGCCTTCATTCTGTTTTTTATGCTTATATGCAGCCTGGTTCAGACTGGCGTGATGTGTTAATTTTAAGCGGTCATGTTGGATGGCTTTTGAGTTTTTATGCAGCATTGAGGCTGAAATTTTCATGTGAAGGATACTGGCTTGACTGCCCTATTGCAGTCTCTGCTCGAAAGCTAGTTGTACAATTTTGTTCTTTGACAGGACCTGTATTTCTTTCTGGTATCAATATTCCTTGTCTTCCTTTATGCCTATTGTATGTTCATTTTCTTAGAATTACAATCTTCATGTTGATAAGTATTTACCTGTCTTAGGATGGATTTGATTGATATGTCAAGCAGTTTTCTCTGGTAGTAAGATCATTCTTGATAATTTGTTTGAAACTAATTGGTCCTTGCACAAACGTTACCTTTTCCACAAGATTGCTTCTGGAAAGCATGGAATTAGACTGTAGGGATAATGGTTTTTGAAAGTGGATGTTGCTTTAAAATTTTGAAAATCTTCTAGTTCTCGCTTTAATGTAAAAGATTTTAAACTGTTACTTGTGTGGTAATACTAATAGATTTTACTGGATTACTAATTATTGCTGAAAGGGTCCCTGATTAGTCTTAGCCTCAGGGGCATATTTCCCTGTATCATCATTACAATCCCTGTTCCCTAAAATGTACTAGTCTTGGAGATCCTTTATTTGAATTTCTTTGACTTTGTTTGTTCCATGATTTAGATTATGGCAAAATTCATGAGCAACATCTTCTGCAGCTCCTATCTGGCATAATGGGGTGGGTAGATCCTCCTGATGCTGTTTCAAAAACTATTGAAAATGGGAAAAGTGACAGGTTTGGATCATTTGCATAATGCGCGTGTAAATTCATTGCCTATCTGCACTCACCCGCCTGTTTAGTTTTTATAATATATGTTTGACCCTGAAATGGATGTTGATTTCATTCAGCGAGTTCCTTGATGGCTGCCGTGCATTATTGGCCATTGCAAGTGTAACAACTCCCCATGATTTTGACAGTTTGCTAAAGTCTATGAGGTCATTAGTTATAATTTAATTTTTTATTTTAGGTGTTTATGTGTTGATCATAATGACTGTTGAAATAAACTGACACAAGTAAACTCTTTGTTTTGACACTTTAGGCCCATCGGTACTCTTACCTTTTTGTCAATGTTGATGTCTGAAGTTATTAAAGTCCTCATGACTAGTAACACAGAAGAGGAGACTTGGAGCTGGGAAGCACGTGATGTTTTATTGGACACTTGGACTGCCATTCTAACGGTATTCATTAGAAAAGAATTATTTGAAACAATTATTTTGTTTCCTCTAACTTTAATAACATTTTTCAATGTAAAATCAAAACAATGAAACTTGTTTAGTTCTGGTTATTACACTGAATTATATTTATTTCTCTTTCCAGCCAATAAATACAATCAATGTGAATGCTTTGCTTCCGTCTGAAGGGATAAAAGCTGCTGCCAATCTCTTCAGCTTCATTGTAGAGTGCGAGCTACGATGTAAAACTTATATGCAACTTTCTATAATGCTGTTTTTTTTGTCATGCAATCGTCCTACTTGATAATGTGACTTTTCTTTTTATTTAGTGGCCTCTGCAACAGCATTTAATGATGAGGGTGATTCAGACTATCTTCATGCTTCTGTATCTGGTATGAAACCAAGATTATAAAACTTGCACATGCTAGCATTATGTTGTAATTTATGTTCTCGTTGATATTATCTTTGCTGTTGCTGTATTTTCTTTAAGCTGTTGTACTACTGAAAAAAAAAAAAAAAAATACAAACTGCATACGAAGCAGATATTGGCAGCAGACTGATCCTGCTTTATAATGTCCAGGCTTTAGTGCTGCAAATGAGAAGTTGTTCCCTTGAAAATGATGTAGTGGATGTTGTTTAATACTCATGGAAATTTAAAGTCAAAATGTGCTAAAATTGCATGGTCATGATGTCTTGTTGAAGTATAAAAGCCATATTATGGGATAGAAACAAGTTAAATAATATATAATAAGGTAATGAGTCCAAATGATTAGACACTTTTTGTACAAGCAAGTCACTCAAGCTGAAAGCTTACTAACTCTCACTTACGAACAGGGGCACACTCATAAATTCTAATACAGTAAGGAAAGACTTGTAGCCCAAATAGAAATAGAGGCTATTAAAAAAATGAAAGACCCAACAGAAAAAAATCTCGCTAAGAGAAGGCAGGCAGGCCTGTGGCTTATTACGAAAAAAAAATTCCCAGTTTAGGCAATAAAGGAAAGTAGGAAGTGTGGCCTTTCAGACTCAAACTTGAAGCACAAGCCAAAGCTGTAAATTGAAGACAAGTTAGAATTGGACCAAGCTAGTTGGGGTCAAGGGAGTGTGAGACAAGAAATAATTTAAAGAGCATACAAGGGTCATGAGTTGGAAGTGTTGCGGCTCTTTTAGGACATAGTGGCCACTTGGGCTGAAAATTATAACTCTCACGGTCTTGGGAAATGGCCACAGCAGATAAAGTATAGCGGGCCTTTAGTTTTAGGCCCCTTCCTTGATTAATTCAATCCCATCTCTATCGACAGCGTGAAACTAGAAACTGAAATGGAATGGCTGGGGGCAGCAGCATTATACAAAATACTTACTATATTGCAATTTGAAATGAAATATAGTTTGAAATATTTATATTAATTTTTATACAATATTAGTATTAATTAGAATTAATCAGAACATAATCTCTTATAGATTTATTTCAATTATTGACTGGGGCTGCAATAGTTTTCCACAGTTCAATTTCATTTATTTTATTCAAGGCCAATGGTTTCCTTTAAAACACATCTAGTTCTTGTTTGAAAACATCTTCTACCATTACAAAGTACTAAAATTTTTCATCACCAAAAACAAATAGACATCATATTTGGGCTGATTAATTTCCTTTTGTTTTAAAATTATATTGTCTTTGCAGCCATGGATGAAAGGTTAAGCTGCTATGCGCTTATTGCAAGAGCTTCTATCGATGTTACAATTCCTTTGCTCACAAGAGTATTTTCAGAGCGGGTTGCACGCCTTAATCAGGTTGGTTTTATATTTGAGGAATATTAGCAAGATACTCTTTATTATTGATTACAATTTTTTGGGACAATTGAAATTATTTGGGTCACGCAGTGTACCAGATATCACTCAATTGCAAATCCCAATAAAATTGAACTGACAGTAAAGGTTGTGTTAGAGAATGAATTGTTAGCATTTCGCGTCATTATTTTTTATGGAGTTTAACTTTCTTGGATGAATATTTTAGATCTGTTGGCTATTAATTTACTTTTCTGTCCCCATCCCCTGTTTCTAAATATTAGTATTGTTCTGACAGCAAAATTTGATATCGGTAATTGTTGATACTGCAAAGAAATGGATAGTAGTTGTTCAAATCATAGAAAATAAACTGAATAATTGTTCAGAATCCAAAGATCGAGATGTGAGCTAGGGGGGCTGGAGAGCCATGATATAAGTGTTTTTTTTTTTTTTTCTTTTTTTTCCATTAAGGAGGATGTACATCACCATTTTACTGGAGGTGGATAAAGCAATGTAGAAAATTGTAGATATGATTGATAGTCCAAGGAAGACATTCTATACAGAAGTATTCTTAAGAGAAATTAAAATTGTGTATTCTTCTTATGTATTCAGAGTTCTCTATTTCTTATTTATACAGGATCTATCACTAGTTAGCAAAAGACTAAAAAAGTTCTAAAACAGAGGAGTTACACTATGGAGATGTTTGGACTAACATCTCCATCAGCACTTTTAGGAGAGAAAAATAAGAAAAATAAAATGAAATGAGCTTCTTTATAAGTTAAATTGAGCTTATACATTAGCTAATATGTAACTTATGCAAAAACTATTTTAACTTAAGGAGAAACTCATTTCATTTTTTTCTTTTCTTTTTCTATCCTAGAAGTGCTTACAGAGAAGTTTCTCCAAACAAACCCTATATACTCTATCATCAGATAAGCAATCAAGGAAAGTAATTAAGGAGCTCTCACCCTAGAAATTTTAGTGTATTTCATTTTCATTAAAAGCCCAATGTCCATAGTAAGAAACCTGGAACTGCTATTAAGATCTTTATGTTAGAAAAATAGTTTTAGATCAAGAGGGGGGGTGAATTGATCTTTGAAAGTTTTTCGCAAATCACAGATTATCTAATTCGAAAATTAAGTTTACTAATCTATTCTTGAATCGCAAAGCAATCAATCAAAATAAGCGCAGCAACTGAATTTAAATGAGAGAAAGGTTAAGGAAGATATCACCGGTATTTTATACTGGTTCACCCAATACCAGGGCTACGTCCAGTCTCCAGCCAAATTCCAGCTGGGTTCCACTAGATTAAATGTTTTACAGATTCAACAATCTTACACCTAATCTATCACAAGAACCAAATTCCAGTTCCTGCACTTAACCTCTCCACCAAGAACCAAATTCCAGCTCTTGATAACCTCTACAACCAAATTCCAGCTGCAGAGAAACCAGTGCCCAAATTCCAGGCACCAAACCTTTCACCAAGAACCAAATTCCAGTTCTTGATAACCTCCACAACCAAATTCCAGCTGCAGAGAAACCAGTGCCCAAATTCCAGGCACCAAACCTTTCACCAAGAACCAAATTCCAGTTCTTGATAACCTCCACAACCAACTTCCAGCTGCAGAGAAACTAGTGCCCAAATTCTAGGCACAACACAATACAAAAGAATGAAAAAGAATTGACAAAGAAGAAATTAGAAAGCTCAAACCAGTTTATCCAAATCTGCAGAGAGTTTCTTCTTTAAAAGAATGCAAGTTGCCTCAAGAAAGATTTTCAGAAGAACTTCAAAAAAATTGTTGCGAATCTTTCTTGAAAAAGGGGTGCTAAAGTTTGCTTGAATGATTGCTTAAGGATGTGTAAAAACTGATGTTCAATCTATGTTTAAAAAGTTCAAGCAACTCTGATTTTAAAGAGTATTTTCAAAACTGCTGCATTAATTAATCTGTTATAAGTTTGTTTTAATCTGTTGAAATAGCCGTTTCAATCTGTTAAAAGTCCTTTCAATCCATTAATACGTTCTTGATTCTTTAACAGATTTGTTTTAGCTGATACTGTAACGGTTATATCAATTAAAACACTTTTCAAAAAATCTTCTAAGTTAATTCAATCGATTGTTTCGTGTTTTAATCGATTGATATACTACAAAACTTTCTTATAAATCTTTTCAAGTTATTTTAACTGATAAAAAGAAATTTTAATCGATTAAAACTCTGTACAAAATTTTTCCAAGTTGTTTTAATCGGTTGAAATGCGTTTTAATCGATTGAAACTCTGTACAAGATTTTCCAAGTTATTTTAACCGGTTGAAATGCATTTTAATCGATTGAAACAGATCTGATCGGTCATAATTCAATTTTGATCGATCATAATCAACTCTGATCGGTCATAACTGCATTCTGATCAATCATTCTGACCCTTTAAGTGATTTTAATCGATTGAAATGTGTTTTAATCGATTGAAAAAGTTCTGATCGCTCATAATTCAAATCTGATCAATCACATCTGATTCTGATCGGTCATATTTGTATTCTGATCGATCATAATGAGTTCTAAATGGTTTTAATCGATTAAAAACAATTTGTATCGATTAAAATACTGTAAAAACACTTCTTTGAACATTCTAAGTGATTTTAATCGGTTCTTTCAAAACTATATCAGTTAAAAACATGTTTAAGAAAGCTTTTGTAAAAATACTTTGTTTTTAGTTGTTTAAAACGATTTTGGAGGCATTTTGCAAAATCATTTAAGTGAAGAAACTTCATGCAGCAGAAAAGATAAAGTGGTTTTACCTAAGCATTCTGTTAGACACACTAATCCTCTAACTCTTTTATCTGAGTGACTTGTTGACCACTGCAAAGTGCCTTTTGACTTCATCTTTGACTTCATCAAATCAATGAGATCTTTGCCAAAGTATTTCACTAAGATCTTCATCACTTTCACTTTACTTTTACTTCCTCCCTTACTCCATTACAGTACATAAAAATTGTTTAACATCTGTCATAACCCACCACATTGTAAACATTATGGGGGGATATGGTCTGGGGCTCTAGTAACTATTATAATTAGCAAGCAATTAGCTTACTATAATTGTGTTCCTTGCCCCTAGATTGTTGCTATTAGAATTTTAGATTCTCTTCTCTTGTTGCTGTCTACAAATGATAAATAATCAACTTCAAACATCAAAACAACCATTAATTTAGCATTCTGTCATCTATACCACCACCCATGTAATCACATGGAAGGGCTATCAGAACCATAGAATAATGTTTTGTAAAAATCTTGTGGGTGTACATTACCTCACACCAAGTATATGTGGTAAAATCAGAGTTAGGTATAGAGAAAAGATGGTGGGATCACTTGAAATCAAATGGTGGAAAATTGTGATGCATATGTATTCAAAACCTCACTACAGTTTTAGTTGCAAGCAAGTCGAAACTGGTTAAAATGACAATAGGTTTTTTATGAGTTTGATAGTTCATTTTGGTTATTGGTTTTAAAAAATTCCGTTTGATGTATAAAACTATATCAATTTGGTATTTTCTCCTTTGACTAGATGCTTCATGATTCTTGGTGATTGGGTAGAAATGTTGTCTTCTCATAAAACAAATTGAAATATGCAAAACCTAAAGTTTTATAGGAAAACTTCATAATACAGTCATTGACTTCTCTGTGTGTTTATATTTTTTTTTTCATCTTTGTGTTTTTGTCTTGTCCATTAATAACAAATATTTTGTGTAAGTTATTTGAATTATTTCCATAGCTCAAATTATTCACTTCATTTGTAGGGCAGGGGCATTATTGACTTGACTGAAACATTGGAAGAACTTTATTCATTGTTGCTGATTATTGGTCATGTAATTGCAGATGAAGGGGAGGGAGAACTACCACTGGTATGTGATTTGCATTTTCTCCATATTTTGAAATAAATTATTGGTGCTAAATATATATTTTTGTGGGTTAATAAAAATATTTACCATAAACAATTTACCAGTTTTGTACGCAAATAATTTTGTGTATTTCCTCTACATTTCCATTTTTAACCCTCTGTGTGTATCAAACTGGCAAATATAGTAAATCTTGTAGGATAATAAAAGGAAAGACTGTTAGAAAAAGTGTCTTTTGGGTTGGGCGTGGTGAACAAGATGTACCCTAGACATTTTGCCATTTTTATACACTGAAGAAATAATTCTGTGTATTTCATTAATATTTCCATCTTTTAACCCTTATTTTCATTCCGGTAATGTTGATATTAATGTGAAATGATGACTTAAGGTTATGCCATTTGTGATATTTAGGTTCCTAATACGATACAAACCCAGTTCGTTGTTGATGTTGTTGAAGCAGATAAACATCCTGTTATTTTACTTTCCAGGTAAATTCTTTTCTTCTGCTTTCTGATTTGGAATTTACTGTTTGAGTTCTTGCAAGGAATCTTAGCAAATTATGTTTGGTGAACCTCGTTCAGATATTTGCATTTGTTTATTCCTAGGCTCTGTTTAAATTCTTGCATATATTTTTTTAATAAATTGGTAGAGATAAAGAATAAATTCTTGCATATGAAATTTATAGAAAATTCGTAAATTCACCTGTTGAATTATAGGGGTCTTGCTCATCTTGTATACTGAATTTGAGGAAATGTGGAGTATAATAATGTGTAATTAAAAAAATTGATGCTTCCCTTTTTAAAAAGTATATTGTGCTTAAAAAAAGTATTCACATTGATTTTACTCTATTGCAATGGTGTACAAGCAGTTTCTGAATAATATCGAATTTGACGAGCAACAAGACTAAATGGTGGATTTTTGTGAGAAATGTCCTACAGGGTTTGCTTTTTAAGATTTATTTTGATTCATGCCTGTGTTTGCAAGATCTGTTTGTCTGTGAGCACATACATGTCTGTTACTCTATTAGCTAGATAACTTTGTCCGACTTAAAGAGCTTTTCATTGGTATGATTCTTCCTTAGATATTGAAGAGTTGATTCTTGAAATTATGACAACACTGAGTTAACACTTGAAAGCAATTCCTTACGTCAATGTTTGCATTAGACATATTGTCTGATCCAATTTTGCAACCATAAGACCTTGTTCCTTGTGCTTTAATGCAGCTCAATCATAAAATTTGCTGAGCAGTGCCTCAGTCCAGAAATGAGAGCATCATTTTTTAGTCCCCGCCTTTTGGAGGTATGCAAATTACATATTTCTATCTTGCATAATGTTAATCTGGCTTTTCTACCCTACAATATTCATAAATGTCGGTTGGATATCATATATGAGTATGTTGCTTATGTTCTTTTCTTGCTTTATTTCAATGGTCGAAATAATTACCAAAATCTTACAATTCACTATTCGAAATCCTGTGATTCAATACCATAAATAATATGTTGCTTTTGTTGTTTCTTGCTTTGTTTCCATTCTTCTAAAATAAAGGCTTAAAAAAACTCATAATTATTTTTGTTTTATAAGACTTTTGTTTAAGTCGTTTTACATATTTCAGATTTAAATTAGTGATATGAAACATTACATATCATCCATAGGATATATTCGAAGTACTTTTTCCTTGTTTCTGAATTTTATGATTTGATACTCCGGAAAAATAGATTAACTGAAATATGATTTTTTATTATATCAATACAAAAAGATGATATAAGATATATACAGGAGACCTAAGCTATTTTAGGAAATATAATAACTCTATTTTATGCTAGGATCCCTTGATTTATGGGATTGTTTCTAATTATTCAAATCTGTACAGATTACAAGGAAATATACAAATTTCCTGATTTATTCTTTCCTAAAATACTATTTGATTTCCCACACTCCCCCTCAAGCTGGTGAATAGATGTTTTCCATTCCCAGCTTGGATACAATCTTCTCAAAATTATGGCAGCCCAGTCTCTTGGTAAGAATGTCTGCAATTTGGTCTTGAGAGGACACATATGGAGTGCATATCAAGCCACTATCAAGCTTTTCTTTGATGAAGTGTCTGTCTACTTCAATATGCTTTGTTCTATCATGCTGCACTGGGTTGTGGGCTATACTGATTGCTGACTTATTATCACAATAGAGCTTCATAGGTTCTTCCCAATTTATCCTCAAGTCTTCTAAGATGATTTTAAGCCATAGCAACTCACATAACATAAACTTGTCCTCCTTTCCTTGAGGAGCCTCCTTTGTGTCCCCCTTCTCGATCTCGGTTTAAAGGCTTCCCATGTAACTTCCAACACTTCTCTCGGGTATGACGAGGTTTATTGCAGTAGGTACACCAGAGACCATCACCTTTATTCTCCACATTTGCTGATCCTTTCTTCTGTTCGGTTACCATGACCAAAGTCTGATCTCCTTTATGGTCCAGTGTTGAGTTCTCTACTGTTGGACTCTCTAACATGAGACCCCTTCTACTTTCTTCACTTCTCCCAATAGCCACCACTTCATTGAGGCATGGTACCTTTTTCTTCCCCAATATTTGAATCCTAACTTGATCAAATTCAGGATTCAAACCAACAAGAAAATCATAAACTTTGTCTTGTTCGATATACTCCTTGAGAAGTGCTGAATCTTCAGTACATTTGGCTTTTATGACTCTATAATGGTCTAGCTCCATCCACAATGATTTCAGCTGATTGGCATATTCTGTAACACTCTTGTTCCCTTGTTTTGTTGCCAAAGTTTTCACCTTTACTTCATATACTTGAGCAGCATCTTTGGCTTTAGAGTAGATTTGCTCTACAGCATCCCAAATATCTTTTGCCGAATTAAGGAACATGCAGGTGTCGCTGATTTCTGGAATCATTGAATTCCACAACCACGCCATGATCATTGAATCTTCTTCATCCCATGTAGTAAACTTGGGATCCTTCTGCTTAGGTCCAGACTCCATCAGGTGACTCAACTTCCCCTTTCCCTTCAACACTGTACGAACAAGTTGGGCCCACTTCAAATAATTTCTTCCATTTAGTCTATATGCAGAATGAATATTCTGCAGTACTCCAGATTGCTGGGATTGGGTATTCCCTGTTTCTGGGTTTGGATTCACAACTTCCTCTTCCCTTGACATCATAGCAAGGAGGTGTGATGCAACAGCAATGCAGGCTGTCGTCTTAGGATTAAGAAAAATGCAGCAGTAATGCAGGCTGCCGTCTTAGGGTTAAGAAAAATGCAGCAGCAATGCAGGCTGCCGTCTTAGGGTTAAGAAAAATGCAGCAACAATGCAGGCTGCCGTCTTAGGGTTAAGAAAAATGCAGCAACAATGTAGGTTGTCGTCTTAGGGTTAAGAAAAATGCAGCAGCAATGCAGGCTGCCGTCTTAGGGTTAAGAAATATGCAGCAGCAATGCAGGCTGCCGTCTTAGGGTTAAGAAAAATGCAGCAGCAATGCAGGCTGCCGTCTTAGGGTTAAGAAAAATGCAGCAGCAATGCAGGCTGCCGTCTTAGGGTTAAGAAATATGCAGCAGCAATGTAGGCTGCCGTCTTAGGGTTAAGAAATATGCAGCAGCAATGTAGGCTGTCGTCTTAGGGTTTATCGCGCGCAGACATAACTTCCTAGATCGGAAGCTCTGATACCATTTGGAAAAATAGATTAACTGAAATATGATTTTTTATTATATCAATACAAAAAGATGATATAAGATATATACAGGAGACCTAAGCTATTTTAGGAAATATAATAACTCTATTTTATGCTAGGATCCCTTGATTTATGGGATTGTTTCTAATTATTCAAATCAGTATGCATTACAAGGAAATATACAAATTTCCTGATTTATTCTTTCCTAAAATACTATTTGATTTCCCACAGATACAAATGATGTGATAAGAATAAACCACCTATCATCAAGATATACACCCGCAAGAAACGAACAAAAGAAGCAAGAATCCTAGGCCACCAAAATCATGGCACACAACACTCAAAGGATGCAAAACAAACACCCAACAGTTACAACCCATCCAAAGGATATAAAGTCAAGGGATGCGAATCAAGATGCATAACCCTTGGAATAGAGATACAACCATTAGAAAAAGATGTATCAATTAGGAACAGTTGTTAGAAGCAATATAAATAGAAGTAGTCCAGATCAAGAAAGACACGAAGGAAATTAGGAAGGAATTGTATTGTAGAGAGATAGACTCTCGAAAACCTGTGTTATAAAAATATCTTAAAATTATTTTTATAAACTCTATTCATTTTTTAATCTTGTCCAGTTCTTTTCTGTCCATATCAATTTGGTAGTAGAGCACCGATCAGGTGCTTTGTTTCTAACAATGGTGACAACTTGTTCTAATTTTGATAATCTTGACACAATGGAGAGAATTTATGGAGATGCTGATGGTGGACCGACAAAACCGAGATGTACAACGACAACAACTTGAAACATGTTTTGTACGAATTGAAGCCATCGTATAAAATTTTTCCAAGCATTCAGAAAATGGTTCACCCAAAGTTTTTGTCAATAGAGAAGAAACACTCAAGAACCACGTCAGGGAAGGGAATATAGAACGATGGAGAAAATTGGAAATCCTCGTATATGATGGAGATCTACTAGAAGAGAAAATTTAGGCAATTATGGTGGCACTAGATGGAAAGGCGCTATCTTGGTTCCAATGGTGGGAAACTTGCAACTCTAACATTGGATGGGAAGAATTCAAAATTTCTATTCTTGAAAGATTTCAAACTTCAGCCACTCTCAACCCTTTTGCTGCCCTCATTGCATTTAAATAAGAAGAAATGGTAAAAGAGTACATTGAGCAATTCGAAAGGTTTGCAGGTATATTGCAAAATGTTGGTGAAGAACATTTTTGTGCACGGATTGATAGAAGACATTATGGCAAAAATTAAACTCTATGAACCCCCTACTTTATCAATCATGGTCAAGAAGGTATTAATGATCGAGCAGAAAAATAGAGCAACTTAGAAGTTGGAACACATATTATTTCAAACTCAATCTCAAAATTCAACACCTCTTACCGAAGTACATCACATACAAAGACAATTACTTATAGTGTTAGTCAGAAAGGTGGAGGAAATAGCAATCGTCCTTCCAATTCTTTTGCTAACAGTGTATCTGTGAAGTTGCCGTAGTATTTCTACAAGAAATTGTGATATTGCATGGATTTTCGTCTTCCATTGTTTTTGATCTTTTTAAGCAATTTTTGGAAAGCTCTTTTTAAAGCAGCAGGTACACAGTTAAAATTCAGTTCAACATACTATCCCCAAACTAATGAATGGACGGAAGTTGTCAATCAATGTTTTGAAGTTTATTTGCAATGCTTAACTGGAATAAAGCCTAAGAAATGGGTCTCTTGTCTTCCTTGGGCCGAATTCTGGTTTAACACCAATAATAATGCTTCCAACAAATATCCCCTTTCAAAGCTTTGTAAGGACATGATCCCCCTCACATTCTTAAGGAAATCACCATTCCTTCCTACCTTGAAGAAGTCAACAAGCTTATAATGACTCGAGATGAATTATTGGCTACTCTAAGAGAGAATTTACTAAAATCCCAAGATGTCATGCGAACAAATGTCAAATAACGTCGACGTGATATAGAATATGCAGTCGGTGATTGGGTGTTCTTGAAAATGCAACCTTACTAGAGAAGGTCCTTAGCTAAAAGGATTAATGAAAAACTCTCCCCTCGATTTTATGGTCCTTTCCAAGTGTTAAAAAAATGGGTGTTGTTGCTTACAAATTGGATCTTTCATCTCATAGTAAAATTCATCCAATCTTTTATGTCTCTCTCCTCAAGAAGGCCATTGGTGATTCTTTCTAGTCCCAACCTTTACCACCTATGTTATCTAAGAATCAAGGATTATGTTCTGAGGAATTCGGAATGCCCTCCCAAGGGTGATGAATGGAATTCTTGCAATAACAAGGGTATATAGATGGAGTTGGATGCCAAAACCATCCTATTTTATATAATAAAATTCCCTGCTGCAAAACGAACCCCAAATGGGTGTTCGGATCCATGGATAGTTCTTCAATAATCTTTTTCAACTCCTCATTTTCCTTTACTTCTTTCTGCACTTCGGTCATTTGTAGCCAGATTGGAAAAGAGGTAATGTTCATCAATTCCCCTTCTTCGAACACTCGGGACAAAGAATCAGCTGCTTTATTTTCCAACCCGGGTTTATACACCACCTCAAATTGGTAGCCCAATAGCTTAGCTAACCAATTTTGTTGGTCCACAGTAGTAATTTTCTGTTACAATAAATGCCGAAGGCTCTTTGATCAGAATGAACTACAAACTTTCTTCCCAATAAATACGATGTCCAATGTTGAATTGCTAACACCAATGCCATCAATTCTTTTTCATAAGCCGATTTAGCCAAGTTGTTCTTTGACAAGGCCTTACTAAAATAAGCAATGGGTCGTCTGCCTTGCATCAGGACAGCACCTACCCCCTTCCCCAAAGCATCACATTCAATCTCAAATGGTTGACCAAAATTCGGAAGAGCTAACACCGGTGCAGTAGTCATCACTCTCTTCAATTCTTCAAAAGCTTGGGTAGCTTCTATTCCCCATTTAAAACCTTCCTTTTTAGTAAGTTCCGTCAAAAGTTTTGCAATTTTTCCATAGTCCTTGACAAATTTTCTGTAATACCCAGTTAATTCCAAGAAGCCTCTTACCCCCTTTCCAGTTTTGGGAATTGGCCATTCCATCACACACTTCACCTTAGTAGGGTCCACGACTACTCCTTTTTCTGAAATTATATGTCCAAGATACTTCACTTGTTTGTGACCAAATGCACACTTCTTTTTATTAGCCACAAACCCCTTATCTTGAAGTACCTCAAGGACTTGTTACAAGTGTTGTACATGCTCTTCCCACTCTCTACTATATATAAGTATGTCATCAAAAAACACCAAAACAAATCTTCTTAAGAGTGGTTTGAACACTTGGTTCATGGTTGCTTGAAACGTAACTGGGGCATTGGTTAACCCAAACGGCATCACCAAGAATTCGTAGTGGCCTTCATGTGTCCAGAAAGCGGTCTTATGCACATCCTCCTCCTTCATTCTTATTTGATGGTATCAGGACTTGAGATCGATCTTAGAAAAATACTTAGCTCCCTCCAATTCATCTAAACAACTCCTCCACTACCGGTATAGGATACTTATCCGGAATAGTAACCTTGTTAAGTTCCCGGTAGTCGACACACATCCTCCAAGTATCATCCTTTTTCTTGACTAGGATTACCGGACTTGAAAAAGGACTGGAGCTATGTCTAATGAGTCCCTGTTGCAGCATAGCTTGAACCTGTCTCTCAATTTCATCCTTGTGATGAAAAGGATATCTATACGGTCTCACACTAATGGGTGTCACATCATTCTTCAACTCAATGGCATGAACCGTATCCCTTTTTGGAGGTAACCCATCAAGTTCTATGAATACCCCGAGAAAACTCTTCAACAATTGATCCAGTTCTCCTTGTTGCTGCTCATTCAACTCATGTTTCTTGCTCTCCTCAAATTCAAGCCCTTCTTCTTTCAACAAACTGTGTAGGGACGAACCGGCAGACTCCGACAAGGATTTGATCCCTTGTAACTCCTTCAATTTCCCCTTCTAAGGAAATCTTAACACCATATTTTTCCAATCAAAAGTCACCTTACCAAACTGTCTCATCCATGCAGCCCCCAAAATTACATCCAAATCACCCAATCCCAAAACATAAGCAGAAATTCGAGTAGTAAAATCACCCAACATTACCTCCAAGCCCTCACACTTACCCATGGTCGTAGTCTTGTGACCATCTCCCAACTTCACCCCCAAAGTTGTTGTTGGAGTCACTGTTAATCCTAATGTCGCCGCCACTTTAGAATCAATAAAACAATGACTTGCACCACTATCCACCAACACTTGGATAGAGACCCCATTCAATCTCCCTCTTATCTTCATCGTAGCAAACTGTCCCCTCTCCATTTCCTCAAACATTCCCAAAGCATTACACTCAATGGTCACCTCCTGTTCTTCTTCCTGAACTTCCATGGCGATGATTTCTCCTTCTTCATTCACCCTCTCATCATCCCCTAGTATCACCAATCGAAGTTGCTTTTCTGGACATTGATGGAGTGGGTGAAATTTTTCTCCACATCGAAAACACAATCCCTTAACCCTTTGGTCCATCAATTCTGAATAGGGAAGATGATGAACCCCTCTGTTCTGTTGCCCACCTTCACGGTTGAACTGATGTAGGGAATTTGAGTTGTTCCCTGTTTGAGAATTCGTCCCAGACTGGGCCGATTGAGTTGACTGAGCAGGCCCAGAAACTCCTCCACTCCTATTTGGGCTTGGGTTGTAACTATACCCATTTCCGGTTCACTGACCCGAGATGAACCCAAACCCAGATTTACTTTTATCCCACATGGGATCCATCTTCTTCACTCATCGTCTGTCATGAGTATCGTTTCTCTGGGTTAGGAATCCTCTAAGCTCCGTCTCAATATCCCGTGCCATTTTCATGGCTTGAAATCTGGTTTGAGGATTTAGGGTTCGAACCCTTAATCTAATTTCTGATCTCAAGCCTCCCAAAAAATACCCTAAATATTGCTACTCAGGAAGATGACTTACCTATGAAGAGAGGTATTTGAAATCTGCAATATACTCTTCTACTTCTCCTACTTGTTGCAGATCTTTCAATTCTTCTAAGGGATTGTCACAACGTCTGCCACCATATCTCTCGATCATGGCTTTATTTAATTTGAGCAAAGTGAGATCATCCTCAGTTTCTCTCCACAAATTGAACTAGTGGATGGTGGTTCCTTCCATACAAATCTTAGCCAACTTGAGCTTCACCTCCTCCGACGAACCATGCACCTCAAAATACGTTTCAGCCCTGGTGATCCACCCAACCGGGTCACTCCCCTCAAAGGTGGAAGCTCTACTTTCTTAACAACTATTTTGAACTCCAAATTCACATCTTCCGACGTTGATGACGCACCCTCTGGTGCAAGTTGATTTCGCATCCTAGCGAATTCTTCCATCATCACCCTCTGAAACTCTTCCATTCTCAGTCGGAAGGATTCTTCCAACATCGACATCCCTCCTTCCAAGGCATCTACTCTATCGAACATCCTGGTAGTCATGGACAAGTAGCGATCGCTAGCTCCTCCTCGAAGTATCCGGCAGGTCGGACCAAATGATGGGAAACAACAGCAACAATGGAACAGTACAACGAAGAAATAGAAGAAATGCAACAATAAGATACTATAATAGTTTTTTGTATTTAATTTGCTATGTAATATGCTATATGAGTACACTGCAGTATAACAGGTATACCCCCAGAGCTGTAGCTCCGATTTGTAAATTCTATTCTCAAGAATGAATAAACCCCCCCCCCCCCCCCTCTTCACACCTCACACACCTTCCCTTAATAGGCCTATAACTGAATCACATGGGACTCCTTGTCACCTCCGCACCTAATTTGTCTCCCCTTGACCCCACTTTATTTCTCCTAGTGTAGACTTTCCATCCGGTAGACTTATTCTTAACAATGCCAGCTCCTATTCCCTCATCAATAACAGGCCCAAGCCCATTCCTATCACAATCCTAGACCACCAGCAACAGGGCACACAACACTCAAAGGATGCAAAACACCCAACAATTTACAATCTATCCAAAGGGTATAAAGTCAAGGGATGCGAATCAAGGGGCATAACCCTTGAAATAGAGAAACAACCATTAGAAAAAGATGTATCAATTAGGAACGGTTGTTAGAAGCAATATAAATAGAAGTAATCCTTGTCCATATCATGATGATTCATGATTCAAAAAGATTTTGTATTTACAGAACATTACTATACTAATGATCAACTGCACTATTTTGTTAAGAGTTCTTTTAGTTTAACAACTTGCAAATCGTTTAAAAAAAAAACTTATAAAAAATTACATTACAATTGGTAATATTTGGCTGTGTACACCAAGAGAAGTCATTTTACTGGTTAAGTGTTTTAAATTATGGTCTTATTTGGAGATTAAATATGCCAAATTCAATTTTCTGTGATTCTTTCTGATGAGGTATTGTTTTACTTCCCAAACCCTTTTAAATTTATGCCCTATGCAGTCAATTATATGGTTCCTTGCAAGGTGGTCTCGGACATATTTGATGTCTTCTGATGGGATTGGGGAGAAAATATTAGATTCAGGTCATCATCATGAGAATAGCTCAAAAAAGACTTTGCTTTGCTTCTTTGGAGAGCATAGCCAAGGAAAACTTGTTCTTGATATTATTGTTCGTATAGCTTTCATCACACTTACATCATATCCAGGAGAGAAGGATTTGCAGGTTTGAGTTTATCATTTTAACAATTTTGGACATTCTCTTTTGCACATGGTTCTACCTAGTTTTAATCTCCATTACTACTGTGATTTATATATAGAAAAAGACGTTCACAACTGCAATCTTTACATGCATATTTATTATAATTGGCAATATGCAGTATATTTGTTCATATTATGTAAATATATTATAGGTGAAAGTTATTGGTGATGATCAATCTGATTCTACACAATAGACATTGTTGGAATTATGGGGTTTTAGGTATGGTAGAGAGAAGAGGGAGAAATGACCCTGATGAAATTCACTTGTGTGATGTGTTTGTTCATAAAACCTGAAACACTAACCATTATTCATACTAATCATAATTCAAACTAAGAAGGAAATGGATCATGAGAAATTAGGAAATAGGAAGAACTAGTCCTTTGAATAATCTTAGATATTAGCTGAAATATCTCATTTTATCAATTTTATATCTCAATATATTTTGAAGTGCCGAACAAATTATCTTTTAGGATTATTTCTTAGTTTTCATGTTTTGTGATCTGTTTCCTTATTTAATTAAAATTATTAGTATAAATAAGGATGAGGGCTTTAGGTTTTATAACGTTATATCGTAATGTATATTATCATAGTATAGAGGTAAATTGAATTCAAAGTCTCTTTTCCCTTCATTCTCTCATTTCTGAAACACTAAAATTTCACCAATAACCGTAGTTATTGAACACAATCTAGATATCATTGGACAGTCTATATAATTCCATATAAGATTAAGATGTTAGTGAATATTTTTATGTATCCAAACCTTTTCCTTCCAAAGTGCTAATATTACAAACTAACTACACTTCTGATATTTTAAACAACAAAGGTAGAATTATTTTTATTTCTAAATCAAAATTATTATCCAAAAGGAGTCTAAATTGTAACATCTTAAACTTGGGTAAATGCATTCATCTTCTACGTGTTGATTGACACCCTAGATATTTATGTTTGATTGATTTAATATGCTTTTTTTCTTTACCATTTTTTTACTTCTGAAATTTAATATTCAATTTATATTCGGCAATTGCACGATTATCAGTAAAAGATATTGGAATAATGCCAAATGATCTTGTTCTTAATGCAATTTTTTTTTCCAGAGACTGACTTGTTACCAGTTACTTAATTCTCTGGTTCAGCAAAAGCATATATGTGTCCACCTTGTTACTCTGGTGAGTCAAAACTTATTTATGTACATTTAAATTGGTAAAGCACATCGAAGTTGTCTTGATGCAAACTTAAGAGTCTGTATACTTTAAAATGTATTTTTTCATTAACGAGTGATTCAAGTTAGGTAAGTAGTTGCTTATACGTTATAATAAGAGTGCTTCGAGTTCTGGAGCTCATAAAGAGGCAAACTTTGTTCCAATTACTTGCCAGAATAGACTAAAGTTTTCATGGCAGTATAGTGATGATAAAATGATCAATCAATCTGTAAAAAGCATCATATCCTTCCTTTGTGTTTATTATCTGCATATTCCCATCCATTTTTTCGCATATTATCTTAGAATAGTGTAAAGTATCTTATATTTCTACCAGCACAGAGGTTTTTCTCATTGTATATTTTGTTCATATAGAATATCACTGAGGTTTCTTTATGCTAATTTAGTTTGTTCCAATGGAAGTGAACTCGTGTCTGGGTGTTATAGGCTTCATGTATTCCAAATTCCATTTCTCCCTGAAAACAGGGAAGTATTCTGAAACAACTTTAGGTGATGGTCTAATTCTCAAAATAATATTTCTGTAGTGTTTTATGTGTTTATCGCATTGGATGTTTTCTTAATGACTCGTTAATGTTTTTAATTGGCTTTATACAATATTACAAATGCTGCAAATACTAGAATTTATCAAAATCCCATTTATCATAAAAATGATGGTTATTTCTAATATACTCAAGTCCCAAAATGACCTTCGTATTTCGCTATAGTCAGTAACCTTTTATCTTTGATTCTAGTTGTTACTTTACTAGCAGTCTTATTATCAGATTTTGATTGTCTTGTACTTTTAATATTATGTGCAGAATTCATGGCATGAACTAGCAACCTCATTTTCCACTGAAAAGACTTTGATCTTGTTGGACACTGCTCATCAAGTAAAATCTTTATCAACTTCCACCCACCATGTACTATCTTGTTATGCGGTGTTTTCTAATTGCCATCAGTTTCTTGCTTTAGCGATCTCTTGCACAAACACTTGTTCGTTCAGCTTCAGGCATGAGAAATTCAGACATGTCTAATCAGTGAGTGTTTACTCCAGCTTTCTTTTGCTATAGTTACGAAGTTTATGACACTGTAAATTTTTTGTCTATTCTTATTTAAAAGGTATGTAAGAAATCTCATGGGTCCTATTGCCACATACATAGTGGAGATATCCAGCAAGAGTAATGTTAGAAGTATTGCCCAACAACCAGATATTCTCCTTACGGTGAGGGCTTGAGCAATTATTTAATTCCAATGTTTGTGTGAAAATAGTTCCTCAATATCATGGACGTTCTGTAGGTCAGTTGCATGTTAGAACGGTTACGTGGAGCTGCAAGTGCTTCTGAACCTCGGACACAGAAGGCTATTTATGAACTAGGATTCTCTGTAATGAATCCCATTCTAGTTCTTCTCGAAGTTTATAAACATGAGGTAACATTCACATTTATCAGTATCATAAACTTATATAATATCCTCAATACTCTTTTGACAAAACTCTGAAGTGTTAATCATATGAGTATCTTATGTTTTTGCCAAACATCTTTTATTATCTAAATTGTTCATTTTTAAGTTAATTTTATTCCTTATAATTACTTATTTTTAGTTTGACAAATGTATCTAAAATGCCAAGTTTCTGACATCTTGCTATTCTGTACGTATATGTATTTATTTTTTAGTCTGCAGTTGTCTACCTGCTACTTAAATTTGTGGTTGATTGGGTCGATGGACAAATTACATACTTGGAGGCCCAAGAAACTGCTGCTGTTGTTGATTTCTGCATGCGTTTGCTTCAGTTGTATTCATCTCACAATATTGGCAAGGTAAAATTTGTACCACAGATTTTTGAGGCTCCTCTGTGGCTTCCATTTTCAAAATTGTTTTGGTGCATTAAGTTGTTATCATAAAATTGAGTTAAATAAAAATTACTCTATGAATGGGTTTTTAATTTTTTTTTTTTCTCTAGGTATTTTTGTTATCACTTCTAAGCTGTGTTCTCAACTTCCTTCTTCAATATGGATTTTTTTTCTTCTGAAAAGTTAAATTATATTATTGAAGATTTAATCTGATTCAAGTTCAAATCGGGCATAAAAATCTCTAGGTCAGATAGTTGGAAATGAAAATCTTCTACCTGCATTATTAGAAGTCAACGATTACACACCTTTATCAGTATGTATGAAACATAAGGTGCAAAGAACCGTATTTATTTAAAGTTTTCGTGCTTATCTTTTTATAAAATGTGTTCTTTAATAAAATAAGCAGATTTCTGTTATTTTTCTTATGTGTTTGTCTAATTTGCTTATTTTAAAAATAAGCGGATTTCAGTATATTTTAATGAGAAAATTCTACGTACTTAATAAATGACTTTTTAAAAAGTTGTTTATTCCAAAAACACTTATTTTAAGTTTAAAAAAACTGGTCCTATATCAAGATAAATATTAGCTGTCTGTGAACAAATACCGTAGTTGTTTGTTGCTAATTCAATTTTTCTTGTTATTTATAATTTTGCCTCTCAAGTTCCGTTTGCTCCTTTTACAGATATCACTAAGTCTGTCAAGCAGCTTACTTAGTGAGGCTAAAACAGATAAGTATAAAGATTTGCGTGCTCTTCTCCAACTTCTCTCAAATCTTTGCTCGAAAGACATGGTATAGATTTTCATTGCATAAATTTTTTGACTAGCAGTTGGAAAGACATTACCTTCCTCTCATACTCATACTTAATATAGGTTTGATTTAACTGAAAATTTCTTACTGTGGCAGATTGATTTTTCGTCAGATTCCATTGAAGCCCAAGGCACTAACATATCTCAGGTAATAATATCAAGATTACATTTACCAGCTTCATGTAAAGTTAGATAGTCAATGTCTAATGCATGGGTCTTGCAGGTGGTTTACTTTGGTCTTCACATGGTCACACCATTGATTTCTATGGAACTCTTAAAATATCCCAAACTTTGTCACGATGTAAGATATTCCTGTGCTGTGGAATAATGCTGACTGATTGGTATCCAAAGCTGATACTGTAATAACTTATTTATTTGCAGTATTTTTCTCTCCTTTCACATATTTTGGAGGTTTATCCTGAAACATTTGCGCAACTAAATAGTGAAGCTTTTTCTCATATACTTGGAACCCTTGATTTTGGTCTTCACCATCAGGTAATATTTGTAATGTGCTTTTTCTTTAATAATCAATAGTGTGGAATGAAGCAGTAAGAAACAAAAATGATGAATCTACAATAAGCTTAAGCAGTTTTTCAATAGTTTAGCATTCTTGTCCCGTGTCCTGAATAAATTTCTTTGAAAAAAAGGGATAATTTTGTCCACTGTGTATTACGGTTCCCAAATGAAAATAGTTTTTTTTTTTTTTTTCTATTTGTAACTCACGATTATGCTTAGAATTTGTGACTAAGAAGTATATCCTTTACTGATTTTGCAGGATGCAGATGTGGTTAGTAAGTGTCTTAGAGCTCTGCAAGCTCTTGCTTCTTACCACTACAAGGAGACTAGTAATGGTAACATAGGCTTGGGTGCCCACACTTTGGGTCTTAAGGATTCAACTGGGAATGTTCAGGAAGGTCTTTTGAGCCGTTTTCTTCGTTCATTGCTGCAGCTCCTCCTTTTTGAGGATTATAGGTGAGAATGTAAAGGAAATTCTTTTTTTCCCTCTTAAACTGTTTTACTAAGCCCGACCATGTTATGGACCTTGAGAGTGGGATTGTTTATCTAAAGAAGCATATAGGGATCAATATGGATAATTTAGCCTCTTTTACTGGAATATGTACTGCATTTTGTCACTCAGTTAGCCGGTCATTTATTATCTCCATCCTCCCCCTCTCCTCTTTCGGTCAGAGATAGATAGAAGCCCAACTAGTAAGACATAATAGGCTGAAGGTTTGGAGAGGGTACTCGAGGATGAATAAAAAGCAACGGATTTGGGAATCTGTTCTGTGAAGGAAGTTCTTATAGGTTACCATGTTATTCTAAATTTTTTAATATCTGACAGTTTGTTTATCTAATTATTTTATCTGTTATCCTCAACTCTAGGAAGTTGTTGCAGAAAATGTTTTAATAAGATGGGGAATCTGTTAGGGGATCAAAGTCTAGTTATCTTAATAAAATGGCTTTTTTGGATCGGGAGATCATCAAACTTTCCGACATTGATTTTCAAATAAATACAACGAGAAAGTTTTATCCCAACTTGATGCCACCATTCAAATCAGTTAAAACTGTTGAGAAAGAGAATCTGAGAAAGCATACGATGCATCATAATATGTAATTCAAATCAGTTAAAACTGTTGAGAAAGAGAAACTGAGAAAGCATATGATGTTAGAATCTGAATTTAGGTTACACCGTCATAGTATGTAATTTTTGTTTTAAGAAGAGGACATTCAAGAATAAGAGATTAGTAAAATTTAATGCACTTAGTTATTTTCCTTAATCGGTATGAAGTATATAAATATGCAAACACATCTCCACACTAATACCTTGTTTCCTAATTACTAATATAATGTTGTTCATTGGCCACTCCATATTGTTGTTGCAAAACCACATTGCAATTGACTAAGAGTATTTCCCTTGTCATTTCAGTTTGGATATAGTCAGTGTTGCAGCGGATGCTCTCCTCCCATTAATCCTGTGTGAGCAAGGCCTGTTTCAGGTATGAATCTCTAACCTGTTTTTGGTATAAAATTTGTTGCATGTTTCTTTAGTTACAAACACGCTTTATTAAATTTTCATAACTAACATGTTTGAACTAGTTGAAAAGAAATTTTTATAAATGAAAACAGTGAATATGCAAGTTAAGTTCCTTCTCATATTAGGAATATGTTTGAGATTTTATTCAATGTCCATCTAAATCCATTTCAAATCAGAATACATTCCTTACAGTGAAAAACCCTGAAAAACTCAATATGTTTGTCGCTGTTGGTGACTTTTCAAAAGGAAACTCCATTATGAACCAGTTTATGTTCCTATGTTTTCTTCATGGCAATTCAAGCTTCAGTTTTAAAGAAAAATTTACCTAACTATCTGTCACTATACAATATGTTCTAGTAGTCCTGATTTCTCTTTCCCATTTTATAAATGGTTACTTGGTAAATTTCTTCACAGATATTGGGGAATGAATTGATAGAGAGACAGCCAAATCCAACTCTCAAATGTAGGCTAGCAAATGCATTGCACAAACTAGCAAGTGGAAATCAGCTTTCTTCCTCTCTTGATCGAATAAATTACCAGAGATTTAGGAAAAATCTTAATAGCTTCCTAGTTGAAGTTCGTGGATTTCTGAGGACCATGTGATAAACTGTGTATGGGTTGTATTCTATAAAGCTTCAAGAGAGGAGTTGAGATTACTGGAGATTAAACCAGCAGCTGGAGATAAAAGTAGAGAGCTAGTCTCTTGGCATACAATTACTTCGGTTGTTTGCAAGAGTAGAAGCTTCATCTTTGTTTGTCTGAGGCTATTACAGTAGTAAAAAAGCTGCCTGATGATCTTAATCGCTATTCAGTGACAATGGTTGTCAAGGCACATTCTTTTTTTGGAAAATGCATCCTTGCAGATGTATATTACTATGACGTAGTTTGGCAGGAGCCTCTCTTTTTGTACACCCTTCTATGTTTGTGCTCTAACGCACAGGCTCACTAGCAGGTCAGATTGGCAGATATATTATCCCATTCTTAGCTTGTGCAAACTCAAGCTTTTAAAGAAACTGATACACGAAAAGATCAAAATATTAGTGACCTTGTCCACTTAAGTTTTGCAATCATGGTTGTATTAGTTCCGAGTATGGCTCCATCTGTGTTTTGGTGTGTCCGCATCGAATGTTAAGGTCTTCTTAACAATCCTTAATGCTTAATCTTGATTAAGCTCCATTTTTTTTTTTCTCGAATTACTACATTAAGCATGACTGCTAGTGATAAACGGGTGAAACTCGTTTATAATACTTTGCAATTTTTGTTATAAACATACTATTTCATTACAGGATGTAATTAATTGAAAAATGAATAAATATAAAAATAATGATCCTCAGTAAAGAAATCCAACAGAGGTATTCCAATACTGGTTGAACGATTCATTTTTTTCATTTTAACTCTTTTTTTATTATGTTATAAAGGAATCACAGTAGAAACAAATTTGGATGTATTATATTCGAGCTAAATTGCGTGTCCCGTTTGGTTCAACTAGAAAATATATCATTTTGAAAAATAATCAGGTTTATAAAGATTCATTGAATAGAACAAATTAGTTAGGTGGTTTCAATTCGTATAGACAGTGCGTCTCGACATAATAATTTTGGGAGTTGTCTGTATTGCGTGAATTTGGCTCATAAGAATTGAAACGATAAAATTGAGGTCGAATTCGTGTTGAATATTCGATATTCAGTTTCAAGATGTAATTTCACAAGCCTCTCATCTCAGCCGAATTAAAATGATGGATTCGCTTGCAAAAGACGATGCAAGCCCAATTTGTAGTTAATATTTGGATCCTCTTACCCATGCTGTATTTGAAGAAAACGAGAAACAGAAAAATATTGAAAATACGTAAGACGTGAGTGGGTGTGGAAATGATAAAAGAGTGAGAGTTAAGGATGGTAACCAAAAGAAGTCCAGCACAAAAGAAAATCAGTCTAATTAATTTATATTACGGAAAATTTCGTCAACAAAGGGAATACAATAAATGCTTAATGATAAAATTTTCGAAAATTTATGTTACGGAAAATTTCGTCAACAAAGGTAATACAATAAATGCTTGATGATAATATTTTGGAAGCGTTTGTATCTTTCAAGATAAATCTTTTCTCACAAGTCTATGGATAAGTTTGTAATGTTTATAAATATTTTCATAAATAAATATATTACTTACAATAAAATTTATTCGAGAGATAATATACAAAGATGGAGATAGAGTGCTCCAACGTAAATAATTAAAATAAAATGATTGAGGATATTTTGTAATAACTCATTCATCCATAAGTATAACTTATGATTTAAATGGGTGTTTACGAATTTTAACCTTATTCTAAAATACAAACATGATATTTTTAGAAAAAAATTATATTCAATGCTAATATTACGAGTGAGGAAAATTATTTTGATTGGAGGATATTATTTGGATAAATTGAAATGACGTGGGAGGTTAAAATATCATATAAAAGAAATATATGAGTTGGAAAGTAGTGGAGCTAAAGCATATAAAGAAACGCTCTCGCATCGATCTATTCGAAGATGATTGTTGGGCTAGTCAATTTTGTTCGGCTTTTCCAAGGACTTCGTTTGGGTGAAAATGAGTACACATTTTTGCCCTTGGTTTCGTAACACGGTAACAATGAGAGGTTATGAGAAGGTCGTACAGTTTGGGTTGTTTGGCTGCATAAATATGAAGTTCGTGGATGACACGAGATGAGATCTTGTGTGGCAGAAAAACTTGTTTGAATTCTAAGGACAGCATCTTCAGATAGAATATTAGAAATCAGGTACAATTGTACTACTCCTTTAGCTAAACCCTAACACAATTGCACAAATTTCATGCACCATCGCAACCGTTGAGACTACTCTTGCTATAAAAACTTCTCGTCCAACTCAATTATCTAATTAATAACAACTGTGACATTATTAAATCAATTTTGGTACACTTTAAGTATTGAAATTTACAAGTTTTCAAAAAGCTCAAACAAAAGCATAAATCTGGATTTGACTTCTAATTTAAGGAAGCTGCTATTTCTTCATATTCGTTAAATTCATATTTATCAAGAAAATTATAACTATAACGTTAAAAAGAAAAAAATATGTTTAGTAATTTCTGCCTTTTTTTCATTAAAAAAAAAAAAAGAATAAAGACATAAGACAGAAAGGTTATGACTGAATAATCCAATTATTCACCAACAACTCCAGCATCTGAGGAGAAAGACTGTTATTATATGGTGGCTTGGTCATCAGTCTCATTATCCTAAGTTAAGTGATTCATGTAACCATAAAGTCCTACAAATTAGGCTATGTCTCGCCCCTTTGTAGAAAAAGCGATTCATCATCACATATTAAGGGCAAATAGCTTCTTTTCTTATGTTAAGAGAGGACTAACTCTCAAAATGACCTTCATTTTTCATATAATTAGTAAAATAGTGATATACGTAGATAATATATAAATGGTTGATGATAAATAATATATAAATTTTATGCAGTATAGTGCACTGTATCGATCTACACATCAGAAAGTTGCAGGGTAAGAATTTAAATAGAGTTTATGAAAATGTGCAACAAGCATGATTTGTACAGTGTCCCATGGGATTTCATAAATACTTGGTAGTGTAGAAAATTTTGGGTACTGTACTTCCCGCACAAAAATTTATGAATTCAATGTCCTCGGTTCAAAATAACATAATATTCAACCACATTTTATTTATACGAGAATATGAGATACTCAATTTTTTTAAGCATAAAAATTGTCTGTAATGTAGAAAATAAAATATACATGGAATCTGAACGAAACCAAACAAACTCAACAAATCAGTTGATTCGTAAAAGGTTATTTGTAATTGTTAGTAGGAAATCGAGAAAAGCGATCGAAAAATGAAGAAAAGAAAAATCGAGAAACATGTGATCGATCGATAAAGCGAAAAGGTGGATGAAAAACCATTCGATGTCCAATTAGAAGGGCATGACACATAAAATCGAAAGTTAGAGTCGGAATCAGAGAAATAATAGTCAAAAGTTCATTGTGGAACAAACCAAGAAATTAGAAGTATATGATGCTAAGGTTAAAAGGAATCAAAAGTAATCCAAAGTTCTCGATAAAATTGAAGTCTAAATCGAAAGGAAGGTTAACCCGCATAAATATCAAAATCGTGGCCAGATCATAAAGAGAAGGAGTTAAACACGCACATAGGAAACAATTTCTAAATCGTGGCAGAGGTTGAAGATCATGGGAACGTGGGTGTAGTTTTGACACCACAGAAGAAGAAACTGCAACGCGCACGAAGAACGTGGTAGCAGTTTTGTTAACTGCTCCTACAAGGCTTGAATGATGCCCTATAAATAGAGCAGAGGAGGAAGGAATAGAGGGGGTGGAAATTGGCAGAGAACATGATTAGTAGTGAAGAAGTCTACCGGAGAAACGACGAACACCATGAAGCTTCTGGCAATCTGGATTTCCATGCTCACGGAATACCTTTACCGCTTTCTTTACTTTCCTTGGTAATTTATTTTGATGCAATTTATATTCAGCAATTTTATGTTTATGTATTTTCGATTCTTGGTCATTTCGATTTAATGCAAGTTAAGTTTCCGTATTTATATTCCCTAGTCATTTTACATTAATGCAATTTCGATTTCCAATCACTTATTGCACATTTGATTTACTGTCCTTTACATTTCCGGCAAATTCGATTTCTCGTTATTTACATCGTTTCTGTTTCGATTTACCGTCTTTTACACTTAAAGCAAATTTAAGATTCTCGTAATTTACATTTCTTTGTAATCTAAATTTCAGCACTGATTTTCGATTTCCAGTATATTTCCTGCTTTCTTTACTTCGAGTATTCTTAATACAAAACACCAAAAATAGTATCTTTGAAATCGGGTAAAATTCGATCCTCATATACATTTCGATTGAAAATTAATTTGCTAGCCTAAGTAAAAAGAACTTACGTGGTAGAATTTTGGTTAGTATCAAAACATCTTAAGAGTCAAAATCGATCGAAATTTCACCAGAAACAGTAATATAATTTGAATTTGCGCATGCTAACATGTAAACCATGGGGTCTTAAACGTATTGTAATACTTCTCAAGCGGCTTTTTTTTTTTACGTTTCTGGGTCAAAAATATATGTAAATTACGTGATAGAATAGATTTTAGAAAAATTTATCAAATTGGTGAAATCGTGTTGAGTAGACAATATAAAGAACTCATGCTAAAATCGTATTAGATAGCATAAGTTTTTTTTTATTATTAAAAAATTGTATCACCTAGACTTTATTGTAATTTTTTTTAATAAGTTTTCAATTTTTTACATAAATAGATTATTTTTAAATTAAATTATCTCAATTTAGGTATTAATTTGAAAAAAAATATATTAAGAGAAATACAGATATGGATAAATTTAATTTAATAAATAATATATTAAAATATTATATTATTTAAAATAAAATAGTATAAATTTATTGCCAATATGACCATTTCTATAAAATGTTTTTTCAGTTTATTTGTAAACGATAGATCTATTTTATTTTAAATACGAGTAATTATAGATTTTTTTATGTTTCTCGATACACGTTAGAATCATAAACAAAATTTAAATTTGTATA